ATTAAATTAAATATAGAAGTTCAAGTCAGAAGACCGTCCCTGAGTCCACCCAACTATGATGGGTACCTAACTCAAGTTAATGAAAGTAAAGGCGGCTGGGCATAGTGCTGACCACACTATCTCTTCATATGCCGAGGTCTCAGAAACAAGTGAACTCTACTTCACTTGCCCCATAGACCGTCAGGTTTGAAAGGGAAACTTTACTTAATATAGAAGTATAAAAGCATACAGTATATCCCATATTATCCCAAGGTCTCAAATTTTTATAATTTTTTGATACGGTTTAGCTTTTGGGCACTGAATGAAGGAATGACTATGAATTTTTTTTTTAAAATCAATACTTTTTTAAATATCGATTTTTTAAAAAACGTCCCATAAATGGGACGCTAGCAACGAACGGCCCCATGTACATTTATTGAAAAATAAAATAATTTATTACGAAATATGGCTAATCACGCGAAAATTAAGCTGTATACTGATTTTGTATTGTTAGACCAATGGTTACATTGTTTAGGACAGCTAAAAATACTGATAATGATCAATTGGGTTAGCCATACCATGGATTAAAATGCAGAAATTAGGTTCAAAAGTCTAGTTTTCTTTCAATCTAGCATCCATCAAAATGAACAACACTTGGAAATAAGTAAAGCTGTGACTAGTACATCTAATTATACACACATGATCACAAATATTGTTATTATTCATCGAAACTGTAATATAATTAAATATAAATAATTGATTTTTTTGGGGGGCGTACTTGAAATTTTCAGGGGTGGGGACTTAAATTTCAGGGGAATGGTGGACATTGGTAAAAGTATGTTTTGTATATAAATTTCATTTTGTTCTGGGGGCAGAACCCCCCCCCCCCCTCCTCCGAAATGATGCCTGAAAGAAACTCTGTCCTCAATGAATTTGCAAAAGATGATCCGGTCCTGTCCCAGATGTCCTCCAGCCATCTTCTCTTTTGTTACCCTCGCTATTTCCCCCCCCCCCCCCCTCACAGGCGTACATAAGGACATCAGATATCTTATTTCTAGGGCACGGATCCGTTTCTGGGGGCTTGTATTGAGTGTTCATGGCTCTCATACGTGTATGCACCTCACTATGCGAACAGCTCCCAATCTAACACCAGGAATCTCCTTAAAAAGTTAACACAGTAAAACTGGTATCGGGAACCTTTGGAGGGAAATATTATTGGGGCATGACAACTGTACACAGCTAATTCACATTTCTGCTATATGTAGCTTAAGCTCTCTTATATGAAGAGAGTTAACCAACCCCCATGACTGAATCATTTCAACTAAATCGTGGCCATCATTATTCTGGTTTGTTATAATTTTAATATCAGGCGCTAGTAAATTTACAGCAATACTAAATTAGTTTGTATTCAATGGTATTAAATACTTCAGTAAGTGTAATTATGAAAACTTAAAAATAAAATGTAAGTTTTTCAATATTTGCAATTTTTTAATACAACAATATATAAGAAAATATAGCTCAAGGTCATATTTAAATATCTATAAATACTTCTTAATACCCCAAAGTCAACAGTTAACAAAGTCAACAATTGTTTCACCATAAATAACCATTTAACATAAATATTTGCATCTGTGTTTCTCGCTAGTGTCCAATAAATGTGACGTTTGTGTAACAATCTGCATAAATATAGGTCAAGGTCATAATTAAATATCTATAAATACTACTTAACACCCCAAAGTCAGCAGTTAACAAAGTCAACAATTGTTTCACCATAAATAACCATTTAACATAAACATTTGCATCTGTGTTTCTCGCTAGTGTCCAATAAATGTGACGTTTGTGTAACAATCTACATGGGGCCATTCGTTGCTAGCGTCCCACTTATGGGACGATTGTTGTACACTTGATATAACGAAGTAGTAAAAAAAATTGTTATTCTTAAATTTTTAACAGATAGAAATATGGTACTGCTACAAGTTTCAAATGTATTTTGCACTTAAAATGTTAATATTTTAGAACAGGGGTCTCCAAACTAAGGCCCGCGGGCCGGATGCGGCCCGCGAGGTCATTTTATCCGGCCCGCGACGATCTTTTTGTCCACTGAATAAATGTTTGTTGAAGGTGGCTTAGGAGCTTTGCACAGAAAGTTCTAAACAATTTTAAAATGTAGCTTTGGGTGCAAATACAATTGCTCGCCGTGTTGCAGACATTGGTGGAAACATTGCGACTCAAATAGCGAAAAATTCAAGCAAGTTTCGCCATTTTTCATTTGCAATGGATGAGTCGCTGGACAGCTGTTCCACCTCTCAACTGCTTGTGTTCATTAGAGGTGTGGATGAAGACATGAACATAACACAAGAGCTGGCTTCCCTGCATATAATGTATGACACTGTTACCGAAGAGGATATCTAACCATAGATAGTTCAGAGACAAACACAAAATCGCAATATTTACCATATTTCACATCAGTAAGATTGCTAATTTTGCGAGAACATTTTGAGCAGAGTATCTAAGAAAAGAAATAGGTGACTTCCTGATAGTAAAGGCAAGTCTCAGCCATTATTGTCTGATGAAGAATGGGTATAGAAATTGGCCTCTGCTGCAGTCATAACCAGTCATTTAATTTTTCTGAACCTAAAACGGCAAGAGAGTGAAATCTAGTTTCTGATCTATACACCCACCTAAAGGCCTTTAGATACAAATGTGTCATGTTTTTGGAACAAGTACAGGCTAACAACTTGACACACTTTACGGCTGAAGCAACCACTGAGTTCCCCACGTCACTTACATACGAGATCATTAAAGACCTCCAGATGCAGTTTCAGTAGCGATTTTCTGACTTGGATTCAAAGGCAGAAGAAGTGAGACTGTTTCAAAGCCCATTTGAAGCAAATGTAACCAGTTGCAAAGATGAACTGCAGCTGGAGGTCATTGAATTGCAAGAAAATGACTTCCTTAGAGATACGTTCAAAGAAGGGTGGATGGGTTTTCCTACTTTCCTAACATTAAAAATTTTGCATCAAAGTACATATCCAATTTTCGAACAACATGCCTGTGTGAACAAACATTTTCAAGAATGAAATACGTGAAGAACAATTTGAGAGCAGACGTGGACCTCGGGTGGGGGGGGGGGGGGGGGAGGGGGTGGACACTTGAAATTTGTATATGTTTCTATATAAATTATATTTCAATGGGGGGGGGGGGGGGGGAAGCACGGCCCTGAAGAGATGCCTTAAAGAAACTCTGGCCCCCGAACTGATATTTGATAGTTAATGCGGCCCTCGGGCTGAAAAGTTTGGAGACCCCTGTTTTAGAAGATATGCATTTTCCTGTGCGCATGTTTTCTTTTTTTCGCCATTTTGACAAGTCCTGCAAATCCGGCACTATAACATTTTTCTAAATTATTTTTTTCACAAAACACACACAAATTCAATAGTATAGCCATTTTCAAATACAATGAAACATAATTTGTGTTTTAACTTGTTTTTCATAAATTTTAGCAATTTTTTTTACAAGCGTCCCATAAGTGGGACGCTAGCAGAATATGGGATATAAAGACACCCATGGGGTTCAATAGAACCCTGGTTTAAAACCATTCATATAGAAGTATAGCAGCATACAGCATATAAAGACATTCAGAAACAACAGAAAACAACACAGCATTTGCATGGTTGGTCAGCAAAAAATTACTAACACACAACCAAAATAATCTATAACAAATATACATGCATATTCGCTTTAAAATCGATCGCAACATGTAAAGTATTCAGTCTGATCTAATCAGTTCTAATCTGGTTCATGCTACTTCAACAGCTTGCTTATTGTCACGCTCTACTAACTAGATCTATTTATCAATTACACCAGCACTAGCCGTATGTTTCGTTTTACGGGGCGGGATTTTGATTTAATATAGCCCTACAGAGGCGTAGCGACCCTTCCCGGCGCCCGGGGACTAACTTTCAATTAGGCACCCTACCCCGGGGACTAACTTTCAATTAGGCACCCTACCCCAGGGACAAACTTTCAATTAGGCACCCTACCCTCGGGGACAAACTTTCAATTAGGCACCCTACCCCAGGGACAAACTTTCAATTTGGCAGCTAAAATGAGCTTTTAATTTTTTCCAATCCATTTTGGCGCCCTCCTAGGGTCGACGCCCGGGGAAATATGTAACTCCCCGCCGCCCTCGCTACGTCTATGTAGTAGCCCTATTTAAGATGTTGGGGTCAGTATTTCTTCCAGACTTTTTCTACCGGGCGGGGGGGGGGGGGGCACTTAATATTTTCGAGGTGGTGGGGGGGGGGACTAAAATTTTCAGGGGGGTAAAAGTGTATGCTTTCTATAAAATATCCATATCGTTCGGGGTAGGTAGGGGGCAGTGGACTTTCTTCGGGGTTCATTATAAGACTAGATACATACGTTTCCGAAGATGTTCTATGGTCTACAAAGTTTTTATATGGAAAAATAACGGAGAGAAAAAAAAAAAAACTACCTTGCTAACTAACAGCTTTAAAACACATTGAAAAGTTTGTTTACATTTGGTAACCAGGTGGAAACGCCCATAAAGTCAAGATAACAGATATAATATACATTATTATTATACACTATTATATAATATACATTGTATCTGCCCGATAATTTTATGTACTGAGTTTATTCTTTAATGTATACATTACTCTCGTTTGAATACTAGTCTCACAAAAGTGTTTTTAAGAAAAATATTTGTTATGTCCACAACTCACAAAAAAATATGAAAAATGAAAAATATGCATTAGAATAAATAGGATTTAGATAGCAAACCTATAAATGAATTCCCTAGTAAAGGAAATATAATCTTCATAACTGAGCTCCTAGGTTTATTTATTTTTTTTTTTTTTTTTATAATAATTAAATGCCAACTGCTTGTTTAATAAACTATTGCATCAACAGAATCAAATATTAAAAACAAATATGTACAATATATTCCTTTTCAATTCCATTTCCCACAAATTCCAAGCCAACATTTTCATTTTACATTTGTATACATCATTCCTTCCTTTTTGCAGCTCTTTCTTCACTGCTTTTAACTTTTCTTTGAAACAATTTTACTTGCTCTTTTCTCTCTTTAACTCTGAAGTATTCATGTTTGCCCAATTGCCAGTTCATAGCCTTGATAATGTCCACATCATCTGGTATCATAACATAACGAATTTGTCTACCTTGAATGTAAAATCTTGCATACTGCTTTGATCTGCCCACCACATCTGTCAGAACTACACTTGACATATTCAGGTTCATATTTGATTCAACCATATCTAAAAAGCCTTTAATCACTTTATCATTACGGATCTCTACAGTTACATACTTTCCTTCTAAGGCTTTTAAAAGACATAGCATAGAGTTGTAAGCATAAAATTTTGAGCGAGAACCAACCTCTGCCATAGCTGCAGTAAAAAAAAAAACACTTGTATTTTAAGATCCTAGATATTACATTAACCACACCTCAGAGATATATTGAGTAGCTAGAGTAATAGTAATTAATTAATAGATCTGGATCTAGTTTCTCTAGACTCTCTACTACTCTGGGATCTAGTCTAGATCTAGATTCTAGTTCCTAGGTTTATTTATTTAAAACAACATGTTCAGTGGTGTTACACTAAAATAAATATATTCTTTACGTTTTAGTGCATATTTGCTTTGTGATTTTTTTCTAGTGCTTTTATAAAAGCCTTTTTCTTTAAAAAAATATGTTTATGTGAGAATTATTTTTTCCTTTTGTTCGAAATAAAGTTGTCAGCACATGAAAAAAAAAAAAAGTCTGCATTAAATCCTTAAAGTCGTAGCTTGTGATCTCAAACACTGAGTTATCTGCTTTTAACAATTGATCTATAGTATTTTATCTTGTTATCTCCCCTGGTATTATTGGATTAAATTGTCTATCAAATTTGAATACAAATTTAGTTATTCCGGCATTGTCATCCAAGAACTGGAACTGGCACATTGGAAATGCGTTAAATTATTATTCCAAGATGTCCTGAGCCACACACGAACAAAACTGAGTAAAAGTAAGTTCCCTTTCAAATCACACGGTCTATGGGGCAAGTGAAGTAGAGTTCACTTGTTTCTGTGACCTCGGCATATGAAGAGATAGTGTGGTCAGCACTATGCCCAGCCGCCTTTACTTTACCTAACGTGAGTTAGGTAGGCCTACCCATCAGAGTTGGGTGGACTCAGGGACGATCTACTGACTTGAACCCGGATTCGAACTCGAGACCTACGGGTTAGCAGTACATAACAGAGTAAGTTAAATAAAAGTCTTTAATAAAAAAGAAAAACATAATACAATTTTATTAAAATGATTTTATTTCTGAATCAAAAACATTTTAAATATTTAAAAGTATATGTAAATTTAGTAAAACAATCTATGCTTTCTTTTGGAATGCAACATAAACTGTATCTTACCTAATCTAAATTTTTTATTTTTGCTTTATATTCTGCAAAAAATAAAGCATCATTTGAATTAGACAAGGAATTGTAAGTTAAAATCTTTCGAATGATATAATTATATGTAATACAAATGTAATTTTGAATAAACAAGAATTCTAATATAAATGTCATACTTTTTCTAAAGTAACGGAGCATTTTAAACCCCTAAAATGCAGTAATTTAGATTATAATTTTTAAAATATCAAGCTCAGAAAATTTTAAAATTATTAATTTGTTATTACGGTTTTAGACCGTGATTCTGTGCCGGTTGAGTTCTAGAAGACAAGGAGACGTGATGCTCATTTTTTCTGGTAGTTCAAGTGCCAGATTCCTCCACGTCGCAGGGGTTCAGGGGTTAAAGACGTGCAGTAATCTCTGTACTCAGGGTCGTTCATGCAGCACTTCTCGTAGACTATGGCGAACTGATCGTTGTGACGTACAGCACACTGGGGAGTAAATGTATGAGACGTAGTTAGGGGGGGGGAATATATGAGACGTAGTTAGGGGGGGGGGTACATATATGAGACGTAGTTAGGGGGGGGGTAAATATATGAGACGTAGTTGGGGGGGAGGAGTAGACTATGGCGAACTGATCGTTATGACGTACAGCACACTGGGGGGTAAATGTATGAGACGTAGTTAGGGGGGGTAAATATATGAGACGTAGATGGGGGGGGTTATATATGAGACGTAGTTGGGGGGGGTAAATATATGTGACGTAGTTAGGGAGGGGAGTAAATATATTAGACGTAGTTAGGGGGGGGGGAATATATGAGACGTAGTTAGTGGGGGGGGGGGGTAAATATATGAGACGTAGTTAAGGGGGGGGTAAATATATGAGACGTAGTTAGGGGGGGGGAAGTAGACTATGGCGAACTGTTTATTGTTGCTTATATATATATATATATATATATATATATATATATATATATATATATATATATATATATATATATATATACATATATGTACATATTTAAAAAAAAATGTATTATAAGTAAGGATATTTTCGTTGTGTTGGTTCAATAGTTTACTAGAAATGACAGACATAATCATAGTGTTGAAAAACATAGTAATATTAACTTTATATAATGATATATGTTTCTGTTACATTTTTAGAGCCCTCCACATTGTCCTGATCTCCGGGCAATTGCAATTCTAATGATCGGCGAGACTGATAGACAATTGCTTGAATGTTTTTCAACACTATTTCTTCTTCGTTCTCTTCAAAACAATTAAGTAATAAAATTGTTTAGCGCCATATAGACCGTTGACTCCTATTTCAGCTTGCTTTTCATTTGGATTCTTTTCCATAGCCCAGAGGCGTAGCGACCCTTCCGGGCGCCCGGGGACGAACTTTTCGATTTGCACCCCCTCAAGATTTTGATTTGCACCCCCCCCCGTCAAGATTTTGATTCCCACCCTTCTCCCCTCAAACTTTCGATTTACACCCACCCCCTCAAACCTTGGATTTGCACCCCCCTCAACCTTTCAATTTATTTTTCCAACCCATTTTGGCGCCCCCTATGGTCGGCGCCCGGGGACATATGTCACCCCGCCCCCCCCCCCCCCCGCTACGCTACTGCCATAGCCTATATCCAACCAAGAACAAACAAGTTGTTTGATTTTGGAGTTGTCTCTCCTTGAAGAGCTGAAGTCCATGATATCGAGCCTCATCTATCCGGGGGTTCGAACTCGATTTTAGCAACCTTTGGCTTTACCGACTCGGCCACACAGACCTTTTTTCCCCATCAACATCGGAGAGATGATGACCTTGTTGATTGTCAGAGGGGACGAAAACACCGTGGAGAGAGTAATGACCATGTTGATGGTCAAAGGGGACAAAAACATGAGGAAGGGGGGGGGGGGAGATACAAATCCTCAGAATGTTGATGGTCACAGGATAGACGCGGAGATTAAACTTAAGCTTAACGAGCGAGGCTGTGTGATGTCAATTACCCCCGAGTCACGTGATGCTATGGGAGAACAAATGACTCTTAGACATGGGGATCTCGTTCAACGCTAGTGTTTGTCGATATATGTATATATATATATATATATATATATATATATATATATATATATATATATATATATATATATATATATATATATATATATAGTGAGAGAAGAAAAAAGTATTGGAAAAAATATTCAGAGACAGAAACAGAGATGGCTACAGAAAAAAAGAGAGCTATTGAGATGTGTTGAGTACACGTAAAGCTTGTTATAGAAACAAATACTCAGGGAGTAGAAAAGCGAGAACGAGATAGGAAGACTAAGAAATAGAGGGAGATTTCAGAGATGTAACTGAGGTAAGACAGAGAAGAGAGACATTTAGAGAAAGATAGAGAAAGATAGAGACAGAGGGAGACGAGTGAGTACGCAGAGAGTATTGGAGAGAACAGAAGGTATAGAGAGATAACCGGATAAAAAGAGAGAGATTTATGAAGATAGATAGAAACCAGAGAGAGTGTGATACAGAGAGAGATATTGAGACAGGTAAAGATAGAGAGAAAGCTAGTGATATAAATCGAAAGCTGCCTTACACCGAAGCAGATTCTGGAGACACTGTGGACATTGTAGCACTCTGTGTTCTTCTCGTTAATGAAAGTTGTCGGATGCAGGGTCTCGCTCACTGCTAAACTCAGCACCACACTCAGTACGCTGAGAACCGTTAACACAGACGTCATTCTGAGGATTAATTACAACAATTTTGTACAACTGCTAAACTCAGCACCACACTCAGCACACTGAGAACCGTCAACACAGTGGTCATTCTGGGGATTAATTACAACAAGTTTGTACAACTGCTAAACTCAGCACCACACTCAACACGCTGAGAACCGTCAACACAGACGTCATTCTGGGGATTAATTACAACAAGTTTGTACAACTGCTAAACTCAGCACCACACTCAGCACACTGAGAACCGTCAACACAGTGGTCATTCTGGGGATTAATTACAACAAGTTTGTACAACTGCTAAACTCAGCACCACACTCAGCACGCTGAGAACCGTCAACACAGATGTCATCCTGGGGATTAATTACAACAATTTTGTACTGCTAATTACAGTAGTTTATTGTAAAAAAAAAAATTAATTAATTATACAAAAATTATTTCTGCCAAGCCACATGAACTTATCAATTTTTATTATTAATAACGTTTTTTTTTATGGCGGCCCAGTCCTCTTAACTTTTCTACCATGTATTGGTTAGACTCGGCTAACTTATGCTATGACGTAACTATAACATTCTCCTATATCATGCAACAATAATCATAACATTCTCTACCCTTTTAGATATAACTCCCCCGTATACCTTAATACGATGGAGTAAGAAAACGCTCCCGTATATCATGTTACGATGTAGCTATAAAACTCGTCTATAACTTCATACGATGTAATTATAACACTCCCTTACCCATAATTACGTTGAAATTATACCTCTCTCCTACACGTCCATACGTTTTCATTATAAAAAAAAACGCCTACCTCATGCATGATGTAATTATAACACTATTACCTTATTCATTGTTGTAATTATAACACTGTTACTATAGGGTCTGATGTAATTATAACATTTTTACCTCATGATATGATGCTCATGCTTTCCAATAAATCCCCATCCTGCAAATGTGTGATGTATGTAGATCAGTGGCGTAGCGAGGTCGGGTGTCACCCGGTTCGGCACTTAATGGTGTCACCCCCCCCCCCCAGAGGCGCAGCGACCCCCCCCCCTCAAACTTTCGATTTGCACCCCCCCCCCCCTAAAAGTTTTCTCTATATATTTTGCTATTTTTTTGCCTTGGTGTCACCCCCCTAAATGGTGTCACCTGGTGCGGTCCGCGCCCCCCCCCCCCTCGCTACGCCTCTGATGTAGATCCACCTCGGTGCCTAAGGCGCAATCGCACTCATTCCCCGCGCTAATGACGCCATAGTAATGCACGATGACATATCCAAAGGGAGGAAATCAACTCGCCATTCACACACAAAGGGGAATAACAAGTACCGGCTTATTCTCGCATAACCGAGCAGTTGAACGAAAGGGAGAGAATAATTTGGACGGAATGCTGTTAGCCTAAATGTTATACGGGAGTGTGTGAATGGGATCGAGGGCGCATAAGGCATGGCGGTTGGTGTAATTAGTAGGTCATAGAGGTTATCGGCTGTCACGTGATTCGCTAATCTATCTTGCAGCTACTCTGACCCTATTATAGAACAAGCAGTTACAGTTTACCCACTTTTAAGACAAATGGTAGAATCATAACAATCCACACAAGTATTATTAGAAAGTATATATACATATACTACACCTTAGATTATAAACTGTACCGTTAGCTTTTATTTATACATAACAGTTTCATTTTCTTAATCATTAGTATTAGTTTTATATAATACATTAGTTTTAATTTTATTTATCGTTTTATTTCTATTTCGGAAATAAGAATTTTACTAAAGAACAAAATGTAGCCGTCTATTAACAGAATTCACAAACTACAAAACAAAAACTCTTCATCGTTTAATTCCTTCCGGTTTCCCTAAACCTGATCTTTGATCTTATACGTAAATACTTAAGTAACACTGGAATTTGACAGTTAACCAACAGATTGTTTTTATAATCCGAAAACTGTATAATAAGTTAAATTATATAATTAACTGACCTGTATATTTTGCTAGACCTATAGTGTAATTTTAATTATTTTAACTGAAAACGTTTTCTCAGCCAATAAACGTTTTAAATAATAGAATATCAAGGTATTTAGGGCTACAGCAATATCGTGCCTTCGTGCTACTGGGTACTCATTTCAGCTGGAAAGCTCACAGTAGCTAAACGTTTGATAGTAGATTAAACAGACTATGATTGCTAACATTCTGAGATAAACACGGGTACACAAGATTAAATGCGCGAACTATAAGTTTACTGCCGGGTTCGGAATTTAGCTGAGACGCAGTGGTCTAGCGGTAGAGCGCAATGCTGCTAGCCAGAAAGTCGCGAGTTCGAATCCGGGTTCAAGTCAGTAGAAGGTCCCTGAGTCAACCCAGCCCACGTTAGGGAAAGTAAAGGCGGCTGGGCATAGAGCTCACAACACAATCCCTTCAAACGGCGAGGTCACATAAACAGGTGAACTCTACTTCACTTGCCCCATAACCAAGTAGAGTAGGCTACAATTCGTGTCATAATAAGGTTGACACGTCACGATTTATAATGTATTTACGCTTATTCATTGCATACATTACTAAGAATAACTTCTAATTATGCGAACGCCTTGGTTTAGGTAAAGAAATTACGAGGTTTAAAAACCTACATAATTTGGGTTGGCAGTGGCGTAGCGAGGTCGGGTGTCACCCGGTGCGGCACTTAATGGTGTCATCCCCCAGAGGCGTAGCGACCCTTACCGGGGATAAATTTTCGATTTGCACCCCCCCTCAAGTTTTCGATTTGCACCCCCCCCCCCTCAAACTTTCGATTTGCACCCCCCCCGTCGAGTTTTTCTCTATATATTCTGCTATTTTTTGCCTTGGTGTCACCCCCCTAAATGGTGTCACCCGGTGCGGTCCGCACCCCCCGCCCCCCCCCCCCTCGCTACGCCCCTGTGGGTTGGTGATATAGCAGGTCTATGAACCCATTTCACCTTTATTAGTGTTTACATCCTTTATCTAACGAATTTTTCACCCCGTTGAGATAACGAGTTCCGATATCTAAACTAATCTAAATATAGAACCCACGTGACCACTAAAGCTACAGCATACAATAAAGCTAAAAGAAAAACAAAGATCTTGTTGTAGGGATATCTTTTGCAATAACTGTGAAACAGTAAATTAAATTATATACAACCTGCAAAATGAGACTAAAATATTGTATGGCTGACTGATTACATCTCAGTCATGAATTAAATTTCTATTTCTTGAAGTAAATAAACAATATATAAAAACAGTAAACGTGTTTTTTTTCTTAGTGTTTTCGCATTTTACTTTACTCTCATATTAGAATAAAATTTGTGTTTTTCTGCTACACGTCTTCATAAAATGTAATCATCCAAAGAAAAAAAAGACGTATTAGTATGTTAGTTGTAATATCCCAACTATCATTAACCGTTGTTAATGCTTACGATAGTGTTAACCTTAATCATACGGCTAATCCTTATACAAAGCTTACATTAACCCAACTTCTACTTGTATACATATCTATAACAGTATAACATCGTAAATGTTATTAGCTATTGTTAACGTATACCGTAGTCCTAATTTTAATTCTAGGGCTAATTTTTATCCAAGGCTTAACATTAGCCCTACTTCTATTCTTAAACCTTAACTATAAACTTATTTTTACTTAGGTCTATTCAAAATCCCAAATTTTAGATGATTCTATTCTAGATAGACTTATTATAAATTGAACTAGCGTTTAACGATAAACTATTGTAATAAAGATATATGAAAATAATCTAAAAATACTTACTTAGTATGAGGTATTGGCCTTTAAGGTGTGCAGAATCTTGATATACACGTACCTCACCGTGCTTGATGTAGGTCCGCTAGTTGAAAGTTAAACTTGTCCTGACCGGCTCTAACTGCTAGTCTGACCAGTCGCCGTTTATATCCCTCTCTAGTAGTCCGCGTTCGCCCGTGGTCAGCCATGCGCGACCCAAAATTGACGGCCCTCGTTGGTAATAAACACATTCGTTACGTCGCTAAACTATAAAGGGGAGTGAACCGCTGGTGAAAAATGGGGAACTCAGTCTTGAGAGTTGCCGTTCTTGAATCCATTACAGTAAAGCCGCTGCTGGACGAAATTCGACAAGCGATACAGTTCAGTAATCGTAGTCGTTGATTATACTAATTTCATGTACTCTGTCTGGGCGGTTAGTATTTAATCGATTAATTATGACAATATAATCGAATAGTCATGCTGATCCTATTTCTACGGGCACATTTCCAATGCTAATTTTGTTCTTGATTTAGCTACTGAGAGGCGTTATTTGTGATTATTAGTCATCTAGACGCGAGATTCGTTCGAATTTAAATCAGTAGCTCGAAATAGTAGAAAGGGTATTCACTCTATTAAAATTATAAAGAAAAAAAAATCAGACACTTAAACATTGTGGGTATTAAATATGTGTTGACTAATAGTGTATATATTTTGTTTTAGTTTTTCTAATAGGTATTGGTAGCCTATGTTTATTAAATATGTCGGATTTTAGCTATTTTGTTATTTCTTTGCTTTGCCACCAATATCGTTAATCGTGTAGAAAAACACTTTGTGTTTTGACCGATAACTATTTATAAAATTTATTTCTGAAACATATATAAAATTTAAAAAAATGTAGGCCTATAATTCATGTGTAACTGGTACCGATGGCTAATTAAAATGAAGAGCAGAGTAATTAAAACAAAACGGTGCTAATTACCAACACAGGAGTCCAAATAGTTCCACTGTTGAGGCAAAAAAAATAATACAAATCGGTATAAAGTTGCTGTTTCTAATTCATTATAGCTTCCGTCACTTTATAACCTTGATTTAGTTCTACAGACAGTGTTGTCGAGTTAAATATGGCCCCTCGCTTGTTCAAATGTAGTCAAATTACACATCTATAGTCCTTTTCCCGTAAATAGACAGAAACAACAGGATATTGCCAGTTGAAGTCAGAAAAGCCAAAAAGAGATACTGACTAGAAGTTTTAGGCTGTACCAGAGGCGTAACGACCCTTTCCGGCGCCCGGAGACAAACTTTCAATTTGACGTCCCCTCGGGAGCAACCTTTCAATTTGCACCCCCCCCCTCAAACTTTCAATTTGCACCACCTCAAACTTACGATTTGCACCCCTCCCTCCCTTCAAACTTTCGATTTCCACCCCCCCCCCCCCCTTCAAACTTTCGATTTGCAGCCCCCCACCCATATATTTTTGATATTGATAATGCAAAACTGCCGCTAAAATGAGACTTTAATTTGTTTTTCCAACCCATTTTGGCGCCCCTAAGGTCGGCGCCCGGGGACATAATAATGTACCCCTCCGCTCCTCTCCCCTCCCCCGCTACGCCTCTGGGCTGTACCAACGGCAATGTTGGTTCACTAATTTAAAGCTGGGTGTCTTTATTTTATAAAACCGAAAGAGTTGACACATCTTTGATAACAATTATTAAAGTTTTGTTAAAGTTATGTGGCATGTGTTTTTTTTTGCAGGCGAAACTGAAAAGTTAACTTTTAACTGTATCATATCCTATCGTCAATATGACAACCAATTCTACATCATTAGGACTGACGTGCTTCTAGATATATTCAGTCCGTGTTGTTGTCCATTTTCTTAATGCAAAGATAAATATCTATTGACTATATAGACAAATGTGTGTAACATAACAGTTCCAATGTTCTGAAGTATAATAAGTATCATGTCATAATATCACATTACTCGAAACCCCCGTGCACACAGAATCCCATTATCTCCAGAATATGTCTCACATGTATATTAGTTTTAACATCAACCTAAAGAAGAAAACATACATTCAAAATATCATTGGTGTCATACTATATTGGAAACTACCTAGGGTATTCACGTAAGTTACAAATTATCAACACCATCACCCCACACCAGACATTTCTCATTCAACCCATTAAGTTCACCAGAACACATACGAATCTCCTGTCATATTGGTGTTCAGTGTTTCTTCCAGACATTTTTCTGCGGGGGGGGGGGGGGGGCACTTGAAATTTTCGGGAGGGGGGGGGGGGCGGTAGACTTTTTTCGGGGGGAGGGGGGGGGGGCGGACACTGTTAAAAGTATATATTTTCTAAATAAATTATTTAAATTTCATTTCGTTCGGGGGGGGGGGGGGGGCGGTAGAAGAGATGCCTGGAAGAAACTCTGTTGGTGTTACCTATATCAGTAACTGTTTAACAGAACTTGTGTGTATATTATTATGACCTAGATAAGTATCAGGGATATGATTTTGTATACCTGGGATGTAGACAATGTTATAGTTGTAGTTCTGTAGTAGTAATGCCCGTCTTGTTAACTTAGCATTGTTTAAATTATTTCCTTTGTAGGTCAGTCATTAACGTAAAAGGTGTCCCTAATAGGTACTTTTACAACTTGGTTATTTTCCAAAATAATGCCAAGCCTTCCCTTTCTATTATAGCATAGTTCTTTTCTGCTTGAGAGAGTTTCCGACTGATGTACAGTTAAAAATGTAATTGTCCATCGACTTCTTGCAATAGACAGGCACCTATACCATAAGAAGATGCATCTGTTGTTAGTGTAAATGATTTACTCATGTCGGGTAAAACTACAATCTGGTAATTTTATTTTTCGCTATTTATTCTCATACTTAATCTTAAATACAAGTTGCAAACCACTCAGTTGGTTGTGCTTTACTGTTCAGTTATTTAATATGTAAGTCAGTAGGCATTAGCTTCACTATTGTCAGCCTTTTAGAGCTACATGAATTTAAATTTATGTCTAAGGACCAAAATATAGTATGTATTATTTTCTAATTTGAATATTTTAGGAAGAGATACTTTGATATCTTTAAGTCATTAATGAATTTTTGTTTGTATAGTAATTCATATTTTGTTATTGCTAGACGGCTATAAAAAAAAAATTTCGTTACACAATTTTACTACTTTTTAGTGCAATTCCCATTCTGGAGAATTGCGATTATTAACTCGTCATTTCTGGGAATGAATGGATGGATGGATGGATGGATGGATGGATGGATGGATGGATGGATGGATGGATGGATGGATGGATGGATGGATGGATGGATGGATGGATGGATGGATGGATGGATGGATGGATGGATGGATGGATGTCCGCAGCTTTAAGTCGTATCTCCTCCTAATTATCGGAATTCCTTCCTGGATTTCCCGGAAAAGCAAAAAAAAAAACCTCAAAAAAATGCAGTTTTTAGCCCATATCTCGACAACCAGACCACTTAGCGACTTGAAACATTTACCAATCGATTCCTGCCATAATTTAAAACAATATTGCCAAAGAAAGTTTTCAAAAATATCTTTTCGTTCGGTCACAAAAAAATTAATTACTACTTTTTTAAACTGAGCATCGTGTAGGCTTTTTCCCCCTTTTTTTTCGACTGATACGGGAGGCTAGCCTGTCGCGACGTGGGATTGTTCGCGTCACTGCGCGCGGCAAGAGAGAGAGAGAGAGAGGCGAGCTACGCGTCGCTCGTTTTTTTCCACGTGCTAATGTTTACAAACAAGAGGACGGGTTTTAATCATAGTCAAATGCTGATATAAACGTTTTAATATTTGGGCACCGTTTCTGAATATGCGATTTATCTCGATTTGAAATTGTTATGGATAACATAAGGAAATTGCGCTTAAATTGTCACTAGACTTTTTATTAACTTGTTTTTTTTTTGTTTTTTTTTTCGCCTCAGACACGTAATTTATAGAGTCAGTTGTGTGTTTTCGCTTTAGTATTACAGTTTTCATCATCGGCTGGTGAGGACTGATACAGATTTACAATAGTAATATTTCTTTCTTACTTGTAGCCTGCTTTCATTCATTTAAGATGGTTTACTTATACATAGATCTAATACAAAACGTCTAAATATAAAGAAAAAATAAAAATTAAAAACCAACCTGAAACTTAAAATGCAAATGTGTAATTAAATGATGATTCAAGGGATTTTTACTTTCTCGTATATACGAAGTATAGAGAAAGTCTTGTAATCGTGCAGAAAAAAAAATCGAGATTTTTACAAATCTCGACGTTTTACACCTCACTGATACGGAATAACATAATTTTGCAATCTTGTCCGTATGTCTGTGTGTCTGTGTGTCTGTGTGTCTGTGTGTCTGTCTGTCTGTCTGTCCGTGTGTAAACACGATAACTTGAGTACCGTTACAGCTAGGTTGATGAAATTTCACATATACGTATTTTATCAAAATCGTAGATCCGTATCAACTTTTGAGCGATTTCCGATAATCGGAAGTGGTACTTTTCCTACTTTGAATTTTTCAAAAGCCTATAACTTGAGTACTATTTTAGATAGATAAATGAAATTTCACATGTAAGTAAAAGATCTAATTCTCTACCTCCTGTTAAATTTTGAGTAATTTCCGTTGACCGGAAGTAGTAATTTACGCTACTTCCGATTTCTCAAAAAACTAATGTAAATTTTAAAAGTACTAATAATATTGCGCACTATTATGCGCTTTTTTATTTGGCGTTCACTTGGTGTGCAATTAATTTGTCTACGAGATTTTATTCTATTTTTAAAACTTTAAGTATTTAAAATGGATTAAAAATCATGTCTATAGCCCGAGTTCCCATCCCCTGTTAATTTTTTATAAGAATATTCGAGAAAGTTTAGGGGAGATCACTCCCGGTATATTTTACATAAATTTACTTTTTTTTTTTTTTTTTTTTTTTTTGTTTGTTTACATAAATTTACTACATGCTGAAATTATGTCCAAAATTTTAAAAAAATATGGATGAATACCTACAAATTTTGAGTCTCTTATTTAAAAACTGAGACAATAAGTCAATACTTTGTTTTCCTTGAAATAATATTCAATTCAAAGAAAATATAGCGGTATATATCTCCAATAATCTTTCTCGAATATTCTTATATGACACAACGAGGATGGCAACTCAGGATATAGACATCAACTTTTAAATACGTAAACTTTTTAAAAATAGAATAGAATATCGTAGAAAAAAAACCGGGAGTAATCTCCCCTACACTTTCTTATATATCGTGACAAAGACATGATTTTTAATTCATTTTTAATTACTTAAACTTTTTAAAATAAAGAAGAATATCGTAAATAAACCGGGAGTGATCTCCCCTAAACTTTCTTGAATATTCTTATACAAACAAAAGGGGATAGGAACTCCATTTTAAATACTTAAACTTTTTAAAATAGAGTAGAATATCGTAAAAAAAAAAGAATTGCTTACCAAGAGAACAATATTTGTATAATACTATTATTAGTTTTTTATAAATTCATATGCGTTTTTTTGAGAAACCGGAAATAGCGTTAATTACTACTTCTGGTCAATTGAAATTACTCAAAAATTGAGGAGAAGTCTGAAAATTTGATCTTTTATTTACATGTGAAATTTTGTTTATCCATCTGAAACAGTACTAAAGTTATATGCTTTTGATAAAATAAAAAGTACAATAAGTCCCACTTCCGGTAATCGGAAATTGCTAAAAAGCTGATACAGAACTACAACTTTGATATAATACTTTGATATAATACTTATATATGAAATTTCATCAACTTATCTGTAACGTTACTAAAGTTATCGTGTTTACACACACACACACACACACCCCACACCCCCACACACAACCACATGCACACACACACCTACCCACACCCCCACACACCCCCACCCCCCCCCCCACACACACACAGAATTGTCAAGTCCAGTTTTACCTACTCGATTACGCGTAAAACGCCGAAATTTTGATATATCTGGATTCAGAATTTTTGGCCGATTAAAATAAGTCCGTTGATGTTGAAGTACTGAAAAGTAAAACAGTGAAAACTGTCAAATTTTTGTGATTTTTGTGCAATATTACATTATTTCATGTATACTCTGTATACGAGAAAGTAAAAAATAAAACACTATTCCTTTAACGAATCTTTTCAATTCCACAGCTTAACACTGAAAACGGATATGCTTCTTTTGTATGTATCTCACTTTAAATCACTTTAGAATGATTCTCCTTATCTATGTGTGCACACTAAATAATTATTAAACGATTAGCATTGCGTAAACCAGTAAACAATAGAGAAGCATAATGTAAACTTATTTTGAACTTAGCTACAGTGACACTTTTTTTCTTCTTCTTCATTCTTAATTTTTATATTAGAAGGGATCCCCCTCCAACACATTTAAGTATACGTGTCAACTGGTTATGCGCCATTTAGGCCGTTGACACTGATTTCAGCCTGCTTTCTTTTTCGATTTTCTTCCATAGCCTTTGTCCAACCAAGAACAAACTACAAGGCAGCAATTGTTTGATTTTGGAGTTGTCTCTCCTAGAAGAGTTGCTGTCCCCAGCTAACGAGCCTCATCTACCCGAGGGTTCGAACTCGAGACTTTTCGGTTTAGCAACCATGAGCTTTACTGACTCGACCCCATTGTGACACTAATTTGATGTAATGAAGCCTTATGTAAACCAGTTAACCTGTGAACATCAGAGGCGAATATTTGAATCGATCTAACCTTTACATACGTACATCCATCCTTAAGATGACAAAATCGTGTACACAGTGTACTTTCAGTTCTGAAGAACACCTAACTCTTGTTAGGTAAAGAAAAGGCGGCTGGTCTTAACGCTTACCAGACTATCTCTTCATACGCCTAGCAGATTTTAATAAATCTGGATTCATAATTTTTACCCAGTTAAAACAAGTCCCCTATACTCCGTATATGATGTACTGAGGTGTAAAAACAGTGGAAAACTTAAAATTGCATGTGTTTTCGGTGCATCTCTGCGGGCGGAGCCCCCCCCCCCCCTCACCCATCTCTTTCCCCCTCCCCCTTGATAATACGTCTACCGTTCGATACAGTTTGAAATTGCAACGTTTTTAATAAATTTAGAGTTAAAATAGTTTGTGATAATATTTTAAAAAAATATGAATTCGAACATCGTCATTTTTGTTGTCAATATATATAAAAATGTGTAAAAAATATAATGACTCTATGGTTGTATTTAAGTATCCTCGTATACAATATGTGCTACGCACAGACATATCAAACCGACAACATATTTCAAGTGTGTATGATTTAATTTATTTCAAACGTTTGTTACAAACTCCAAACAAAAGTCGACTTACATCAACTATTTTTTGATCCTTCAAATTTAAAATTTAAAAACCGCAACATTTTGTAAATTGAAGCAAAGATTTTTTCTTTCTATTGACCATTCACGATTTGTAGGAATTCAATAAACTCCTTTTCACTCTCTTCATCGTCCTAATCCTCTTCATCACCCTCGTCGTTGTTTCCATCGTCGCCTTCTGTCTCTACAGGAAGCTGGTCTTCTTTCTTTAGAGTTTTCACATAACCAATAGCTGAGTCGATGATGGCACCTTTGTTCTCGTTCCACACCGTCTTGATGCCGTTCCAGAGATTTTTCCAGAAACCACGGCGTTGTAGATCCCCAGAACGTTTTGACCCATCCAATGCCTGCAAGTAGAAAAAAACAAATGTTAGTAGCTGGAACTACTGTTTGTATTAGACCTGTTAATAAGCGCCATAGAGATTTATTTAGGAATAGCTGTAAAAAAATAATGTGAGACTTTGTTGTGTGGTGGTAAAGCGCTCGATCACTAACCCTAACGTCTCGAGTGAGGCTATTTGTACTGAATAGAGTTAGCAGATGGTCCATATATATATTAAAATATATATATATATATATATATATATATATATATATATATATATATATATATATATATATATATATATATATATAATATAATATCATTGAACAATCATTACCGAAGTGGTCTCATCGAATGCCCTCTTGAGATTTTGAGAAAACACCTCGTCAAAAGCTCGTTTCAACTCCGAGTCCAATCCATCCACGCTCCTAGCTGATGTATAGCTAAGCAGCACCAAGGAAGCGGCAAAAGCGATTAGAATGGGGGTGTTCATTTTCTGAAATCTTCCTGGGGAAAAATCACAAAAAAAAGTGTAAATATTCCCTGACCACACATTATATTGAGGTAATAGTTTAAAGAAGATCTTCACAGAGTGTTGTTCATGTAAAATATCTACTGACCTCGTGAATGTTATATTTAGGATTATAATTAGGATTTAACATATTAGGTAACCCTCTGGTTGAGGAGGTAGTTACATTAGAATATTTGAAACGCCATATTTGAAACGCCAAGTATCAAATATTTGTCGGTTTCCCAAAAATGCTATATTGGTGTCTAAATAGACACATCTTTCTTTACTCAAGAAGTGTAGGTAACTGACTCACGATAGTGAAATTATTTACTGCTGGGCATAGTACTGACAATAGTATCCCTTCATATGCCCCTTCATATGCCCAGGTAAGAAATGTAGAAGAACTATAATTTATCTTACCTCATGGATAGCCAAGTTGAAAATAGTAACCTAATACTTTTAAGCTAAACTTTAAAGAAAATGTATCAATAATATAAAGTTGACCATAGCTTGTCTGTATAGTTTATCAATAATATAAAATTGACCATGGATTGTCTATATAGTTTACCATACAATACCACAAACTTACCTGTTTACTGCAACACGACCGTGATTCGCTGGTCAGAGTGTATCAACATCCAGTGGCGTAGCGAGGTCGGGTGTCACCCGGTGCGGCACTTAATGGTGTCACCCCCCCAGAGGCATAGAGACCCTTCCCAGGGACAAACTCAAATTTTTGATTTGCACCCCCCCTCAAACTTTCGATTTGCACCCCCCCCCCCTCGAGTTTTCGATTTGCACCCCCCCCCCCCTCAAACTTTCGATTTGCACCCCCCCCCTCGAGTTTTTCTCTATATATTTTGCTATTTTTTGCCTTGGTGTCACCCCCCTAAATGGTGTCACCCGGTGCGGTCCGCACCCCCCGCCCCTCCCTCGCTACGCCCCTGTCAACATCCAGTACATGCTAGAATTTATACCCCATCGTGTGGGGGACTCGACTAGTGTACGTGTTTGATAGTTTGATGAGGTCTAGTGTGGTACTCAACTAGTGTAAGTGTTTGATAGTTTGATGAGCTCCTTTTATCTACAGAGTGAGTTGTCGCGGGAATTTTCTAGAAACGCCGGGAGCAAAGGTCAGCCAGTTAAATGTTGACGACTAGGTGTGATGTTATAGAGAGGTGATCAAAGTCTATAGAGACAGCTTGTGGTAGATTGTTGGTGATATAGGGGAGGTGTAATGGCTGATGTAATGTCGGATGTAATGGCTGATGTAATGTCTGATGTTATGTCTGATGAAATGTTTGTGATGTATTTGTGTCACTGCTCATATATCTGAATTAAGAAGTAATATAATTATTATGACATTTTAAAAATATATTTACATCACTGATTATATTAATCACTTCAGTTATAATGGCTGATGTAATGTTATTTTTTAACAAGCAATTTAATGTTTTTGGTAAGTTTGTTTGACTTGTGATAAGTAGTACTACAGAGTAATGTTTGTGATATATATATATATATATATATATATATATATATATATATATATATATATATATATATATATATATATATATATATATATATATATATATATGTAAATATGTGTGTGTGTGTGCCTATAAACATATATACATCGCAAAGTTTCTGACGTGTTTGTGTAACTGATGATATGACATGTAAATGTATATTGAGTGTGATATATTTGTATGACTGCTGATATAACTCCCTTGAATTTAAACATCCCACTCTACTCCTCAAGGCTTCACTCCAAATCCCTGCCCCATATATAAACACATTAAAACCAGGCAACATAATTTAGAGCTAACACATTGTGTGTAAGTGCTTAAAATTATATTTTCTTAGAATCCAAAACTCCACCAATATCTTGATCCGATGCCTTATTTTGTAAGTACGTCTTTTAAAACGCCCTATATACTGACCATCATATATTAGTACAAGCATAACATTATCGACTAAAAGATCTAACATTCTAGCTATTTTAAACTGCTACAAATCTCATGGGAAAAGATAGTTAGAGTATCTGACACCATCCATTTATGTTGCATAATAATATATACATAATTTATATATAGCAAACTTAGTCGATTTACCTCACAAATAAATATACACCTGTGAGTTTTAAAAGTATTTAATAGAAATAGCATATAATAGAAACTACAGTTGCAACTAGATGACACACAAATAGTAAAATAATATCAATATATATATATATATATATATTTAAGAGATTGTTTCTGGTGTCATTATAAAATATTTCAACTGTTTGTGTCAAATTTTTTTTTTTTTAAAATAGTCTTTTTTTTTTTTATACAGTGTCCTAACTGTGGGATAGTTGTAGTCCGACCACGCCTTTCCTTTATCAGCCAATTAAAAACGTGTTTAATAAAAAAAAAAATTAATCCGTACCGTTACAATTATTTTGAAACGTATTTAACCCAATTGAAATATAATGTCGATAATTTAGGTTTTGTACTGAATATTAACGCAATCATGATGCAGTTATGTCAAAGTACAATGCTTATTTACCACACATGTACATAGACCGCTGTTTGGTTGAAATTTTCGAGATGAAAGACTACTCGTGAAATATTTTGGTGTGCGCTTGTTGGTGCTCTGTTTTTTTTCTTCTTGAATTATAGGGAAGTGTAGTAATCATGCCAAAACCCAGTGGCATAGCGAGGTCGGGTGTCACCCAGTGCGGCACTTATGGTGTCACCCCCCAGAGGCGTAGCGACCCTTGCCGGGGACAAATTTTCAAATTTTCGATTTGCACCCCCCCCCTCCAACTTTCGATTTGCACCCCCCCCCCCTCAGACTTTCGATTTGCACCCCCCACCCCCCTCAAACTTTCGATTTGCAAACCCCTGAAGTTTTTCTCTATATATTTTGCTATTTTTTGCCTTGGTGTCACCCCCTTAAATGGTGTCACCCGGTGACACCCGGTCCGCACCCCCGCCCCCCCCCCCCCCCAACCTCGCTACGCCCCTGCCAAAACCCGAAATTATTCTTACTTAATTTCAACGTTTTATACATTTCTGTGTTGTAAAAATTCCGGGTATGCAATCTTATTTGCGAGTCTTCCTATCTGTGTGTCTATTTGTTTGTCGCTGAGTAAACAGGTAGACGCAATTTCTGATAGAACGCTTACATACCATATCAAGGTTTATATCAACTTTTGAACATATTTTATAAAAAGGAAGAACATCACTTTATTTCCGATTTTTCAGAAACCTTCACAATTTGATAATGTATGTCCTTTTCTCTTAAATCATATTTAAAAGTCATTGGTACCTGTATGAAGTTCACTGTTCAAACCTAACAGTCCTGTTTATGTGACCTTGGCATATGAAGGGATAGTGTGGTCAGCACTATGCTTAGCTGTTTTATTTTCACTACCGTGAGTTAGGTAGGGCCTACCTGTCGAGCTGGGTTGACTCAGAGACGTTCTGCTGTTTTGAACCTGGATTTGAACTCTAGCCTTTGGGGTTTTGCTGTTTAGCGATCTACAGCTAGACCACGCCGTCGCATGTGTTTTCTCAATAAACTTGCGGTTTCGTCTATAACGTACACTCATTTTCTATTGCCCTTTTGAACTATTTAAGCTACACTATTAGAGATTTTTGGTCTAATATATTCACCTTCTATTTTACTTGTGTTTTTTATCCAAAATTTCCCTTAACGACTTGCATACATTTAAACAAAAACAACATCTGGTGATAAACGTTTTTGGTTTTAACATACGTACTAGTAAAGTAGGCTACATTTTTAGAATACATAGTTATAATGCTAGGGAATCTGAGTTAATGACAATATTGTGTGTATTTCTCTGAACCATTTATATCGTCGTTTTGTCTTCAACCTGGGTATAACAATCGAACAGCGTATTAATTTATTTTGATTTACAAATATAAACATAACACTGCTACTACACATTGCTCAATACTCTCGTATACCTGTTCACCAACTTGTATAGACAGTTGTAAAGACATTGTAGCAATGCACAAGATATAAACATTTCTCGCATAGAAGTAGCAGGGACCCTGCATAGCAGTGGCGACGTTAGGTCTGGTGCCACCCGGTGCGGCACATCATGAAGTCACCCCCCCCCCTATATATTTTCTTTCTCTGCAATTTATTGCAGTTGGTGTCACCCCCCCCCCCCTGGTAAAAGCTTTAAAGTGTTCTACACTCGGTATTTAATAAAGCTGGGTGTAGCATTGTTTTATCTATAGTTTGCATATTTAGATCATGGTGTTACCCCCGTTCCTCCTTTTAGCGATCGTCATTATGTAGGCCTACTTAAATTATTTTTTTAAATTAATTAACCATTCATTGAACTGGTAAAAAAATGTATTCTAAATATCTTGCAACCTTTTTAGTTCTTGGTGTCACCCCCTACCCCCATAAATGGTGTCACCCGGTAAGGTCCGCAAACCCTCCCCTTTCCCCGGCTACGCGACGCCTCTGCTGCAGAGCATATGAATGGCTAAGTACTTAAGTTACATGCTACATCCCCTAAACCAACCCATACACATTTTGGGACATCGGAAAAATACCGAAGAAGTTTAATCTCATTAAACTGTTGAAAAGTACTATATCATTTTAACAATTTTGAACTATTTTTTTCACAAAGCTATAAAATTACACTTACTTATTATTTTCTACTGAGTTCTTCATATATACTTAATCAAGTATACATGATGTTAAACGTTAGTAATACTTGTAAACAAATATCAAAATTAAAATGTAATATTTCTCAATGGCATGTTATTAAAGCTACAGTCGTGGCCGGCCGATAGAGCGAATGTCTACCTACCCAAAGATCTTGTGTTCAGCTCAAGTCGTTAGTATGTACAGATTCCACTAAACATTGTCCTTACATTAAAGGAAGCAAAAACTACTTGATAGACAACTGATCACTCACTTTTTATTAATGCTGTGGTAAAAAAGAACTTGAAATCAACTTCATTTGCCCTACGAATGTGAATCTTCCTCTTTTCTTTTGTAAACGATTGCTTGTATTTAAGGATTAGAAGCTTCATTTGACTGGAAATGAATCGATGGTAAATGTTTAGGTAGAAATTGCTCTATCGTGTTGAAACGTTCCATGGCCACAGCGTTCAAAATTACCAATGAGAGTTTTTAACCTAAATGTTATATTTCTTCATAATTTTGACTATGAAATTTTTCAACTTCAATAATTTATTCCTTTAAAATGTTACACATGAGAGTTATCAACATAAATGTAATATTTCTAAAGAAAACGAGAAATATATTATACCTTGCATATAGGCCTAATCCCTTAAAATCTCAATCCTCAAATAATGCATTTCATAAACGTTTTTTCAATTAGAAAATTGAAAATTGAACATTAGAATATTAATTGTAAGTATCGATTGTTTATAATTTAGAGTTAATTATATATATATATATATATATATATATATATATATATATATATATATATATATATATCATGAGAGAGAGAGAGAGAGAGAGAGAGAGAAAGAGAGAGCTGTCTGAGGTAAAGTCATACATATATATTTGGTTCACACTTTACTTTTAACTTCTATTTTTATACCTCCACAACATAAATAAATTTAAAAAAAAACAATTTTTTCAGAGGAAAAATACATTTTATTTGCTTTCTAGAACGTTCGCTTATATTGGTGTAACTAGGACTGTCACAGTCTCTAAGACACCATCATGTCTACATTCTGTACCAGAACCTGCACTTTACTCAACTTGAACTTTGTCTTTACCAGATTCTTTCCATTGCTTCCATTTGTCGGAGTTCTGTCCCCATTTCCAACCATTTCCACCGTTGTTATTGTTTAACTGTAAATATAGCATTTAATTCAAGTAGGTCTAATTAAGAACATATTTTTTTTTTTATATTTATCTTAACTTTTTCTTTGTTCTTAGTTCTAGTGCTGAACAGGATTCACTGAAATACAATTAAGTATCACGTATCAAATTGTTATGCGCTATAAAGGCCGATAACTCCGATTTCAGCCTGCTTTTTATTTAAAATTTGCTTCCATAGCCTTTGTCTAAAGAAAAGAACAAACTACAAGGCAGCAGTTGTTTGAATTTGAAGTTGTCTCACCAAGATAAGTGTCCGTCCTTTTGGTTTTACCTGATGATTATTAAATTATGTAGATTCACTGTTTCTATTCAGACGTACCGGATTATGCCCTGGAAAATCTCTCTTGCCAACCACTGCGTTAACGGCAGCTGTAATTAGGGGCTTCTTAATTGTATCCCAAACGTTTTTGAACCAGCCCCTTCTAGATCTCTGCAGGGAAATATTTATACAACAAAACAGAATATATATATATATATATATATATATATATATATATATATATATATATATATATATATATATATATATATATATATATATATAAATCGTTACCGATTACAATTAGAGACTGCAATTAAAGGGAAACAAGTAGAAACGATATTGTAATAACGCCATGTTAAGGTTCTTTAAAGTCCAGCACGTAATACATTTTCTTTTCTATTTTTGCCAACAAATTTGCCAAGAAATACATATTAATATTCTAAAAACAATGTAGACGACAAAAAGCATACCGCCGTAGTTTCATCAAGCGACCTCTTGAGGATTTGATTAAAAGCTTCATCTAAATCTCGCTCTGTTTTTAAGTCGAATGTAGCCGAGTCTTTGGCTAACGTGTTGCTTAGCAACAGCAAGATTGCCGAACATCCGAGTGCAATAGCAACATTCATTTTCTTGTCAGGGGAAATAACAAGAAAAATTCCAATATTTAGTTTTGACGGACAGGTAATCTTTACAGTATAAAACATAAATATATTAAGTCATAAAAAGTATATTCTTATTTTTCCCTGAAGGCCTACACCGCGGTCTGATTATTGCGTTACAATTTTTAGCTAGTTTTAAAGGTTGAAATTAAGAAAATAAAACTTTAATGTTCCTCGTTGCCTATTTCCTAGATAAATCGATTTTAATTCAATGTGTTAGTTGTAAATAATTTCAAAATGGAACAGCAATTTTTTTTAAAGCTAGATTTCTATTATATATATAACCAGTTTATTCTTACCAGAGTCGTTCGAGTATCTCTAATCAGTCAGTATCAACAACCAGCACGGCTATACTTTATACCCCATCGTACGAGTAACTGTACACGCCAATGTGTTGAAGATCTTGATGAGATCCTTTTATCCAGAGATCCACTTGACACGGTACAGCAACAACTGTACACGTCAATGTGTTGAAGACCTTGATGAGATCCTTTCATCCAGAGATCCACTTGACACGGTACAGCAGCAAAAACGCCCGAAGGTAAGGTCATATGTTTTGTAATCCATCTATACCGATATTACAATCTGATCTACGATAAGTAAACCGCTGAAGTGTTCAACTCCCCACTTGCTACTATTTTGTTTTGTTTTTTATTGGTTGCCTTTTTAGTACATGGGTCCTTACAGTTTAAGTAAAACTACAAAAACTAATGTTACAAAATTACAAACATGGTCTGAAATATTGAGCTTTCTAATGATAATAACCGAGTCATGCTATCGGAGACCCCAATGATTAGATTTTACACTAAGTTATCTTTTTATAATTGAACAAAAATTGTTAATTCGAAATAACTATTATCATAAAAAAGCTCCTTTTATAAAAGGAAAAATAAAATATTTTTATCACCAGGAGCTGGAAATTTTCTTTTCGGGCATTTGTCCCATTCGAGCAAGTATCCATTCGGGCATTTGTCCCATTCGGGCATTTGTTCCATTCGGGCATTTGTACCATTCGGGCATTTGTCCCATTCGGACATTTGTCTCATTCGGGCAAACGGCGTCCGGAAAAGTGTTATATCATTTCGAAAGAAAATGTACCAGTTTATCGTATGCAAATATAGGTTTATGATTTAAATAAAACGCATTTTACAGTAAGCATTGGGTTATTGCTTCCAGTTGATAAGCCTATAGAAATGTTTGGGACAAAGCTGCTCTTCTTTTGTGAAAACTCTAAGGCGCGAAACGTTCTTAGAAATATGCAAATTATGATCCGCTAATATTTATAATGCATACCTGAAACCGAAAGGTAAATCTTTATCTAATATGTAAGCGGTTGAAGAAAATTGTGTAGGAATTTGCATCCGGGTTACTACACATTCTGATGTCACACATCATGACGCAATCATATCATCTGTCGAACACATCGGTGTGGATCCGCACGTACCGATTAATGAGTTTTGTGATTAGTTTTTGTGACATTCGAATACAATTCAACTTCATACACACAGCTGGGGTCGACCGCGGTGTCACAATTATACCCAGAGTTGGATTTACGAATGAGCTAAAGAAATTATAACCTTTGGGCTTTACGTAGTTGATGGCAACCAATTTTTTTTTTCAAAATAAGCGAAAGGCGTGTATCTTTTAATATACTGCTATATTAGCCCTAATGAAAACTCTATAGACCACTGAACAGCTTCGATAATCTGGACTAATTGTGGAGCCCCATATGTAAAATGGCGCATTGGCGTCGCTAGGACGGGTGTCACCGCTTGAAATTGCTGGACTGGTACGCTTGCATTAAACAATGACGACAAAATCTGTATAAATAACAATATATACATTTAAAAAAAAGTAAAACAACATATTTGTCACTGTCTTTGCTTTTAATGTAAAACAAAACCTTCCAACTTAAATAGTGCTAAATGGATTTCAGAAATCTCAAACTTCCGGTTTCTTCGAGCATCCCTGTGCTGACGTCACTAGATCCGTCATGGTACCCAGCACGACAAGAGCATCTTGGATGCTGGTCAGCTTCTGCGCCAACTCCTTGTTACATTTGGGCACGCCACTATCACCGGCTTCTCTTCCAGTGCGATACCAATCAGTCCAAGTTTTGGAAACATACGGCTGAAACGTTACCAAAAAGACCCCGTCAGTAAAAATGCTTATTTTTACACATCATCAGATTTGATTGGTGGTATGAACATTTATTTGACATCTCGAAGTAGGTCGTCTAGTAATCTTTAAAAACAAAGGCATTGTTTTATTTAGAAACTTTGTAAGTATTATGAAGTGAAAGTAGTTTCTTTTGGGTTTGGGAGTATTTGAGTATACTAGGTGTCGTGACGTTGTGTGTCTTGGTCTTGTTCTCTAGGTCTTGTGTGTCCTTAGGACCGTCTATTAGGTAATGAATTATCGTCTGCGTTGTACGACAGAAACGGAGTATTTTTAGGTCTTGACAAAAAAAATATTTTTGTCATTGATTATTAGTGCATTGAGATTTGTGTCTAATATGATATGAAAGAAGAACAGACACATCCACATTGATTTAAGTCAACAATTAAATACGGAAATGTAAAACAATAACTTCTTGTTAATTGTTTGCTGATAAATGTGATGTTAATCATCAGGTCATCTGGATTGTGGCAGATTAAACAAAAATCCTCACAATAAGTAGTAGCTATGTTAAAACTCTTAAATTGCTACCAAAATTGAAATCCAAGCTACAGTAGTAAGATACAAAGTATTTAACATGTAGTTTTCATCTCTTATACTGGTATAATTTAGAATAAACTTGATTTATATTTGACTTTTTATTAATTGGCCAAAATTTACAAATAATGAAAAAATAAAAAACATTATTCGAAATTGACGCTAGATCGAAAATCGAAAAATAATTTATATTGTATATAAAACAATTATTCATTTTATAAATCCTATGATATTAGTTATTTTCCGTTTGTTTAACGTTGATTTTTAATGTTGTCCCATTTCAATCGAGTTTTTATCACTGTTCATACTTGTGTCTGTATATTATTAATTTACTCTTATCTCAGGGTCGTCATTAAACACTCAATAAATCATTGCGAATGTTCTAGATCGGTCATATATTCAAAGTCCTTGAATTACCCATACACTAGATTTACAATAATATTACAACAACAAAGCGTAAACAGTTTTAAAATAATGGGTAAGAAACATTTTGTATTACCAAAGCAAATGTTACTGAAGGTCGTTTGCCTAATATGCGTTGTTGTCCCAGATGTCTTTGGCAGCGTCCTTGACCTTTCTCAAACAACTTGCTCCACCAACTTCTTCTTTTGATGGACCGAGTAATGACTTCTGGGCTGGGGTTAAATGCCTAGAGAGATTTAGTGCCAGAAACATTATTTTTAAACCTTCTAAAAACTTAAGCATTGTAAACTATTATTTTTTTAAATTAGGAAAATAATTAATATATACTAGATAAATGGCCCGTTGAGGGAGAAATGCAACAGGCGCTAGGTTGATAGCGTTGTCGTTTTCTCTAAACCAAAACCAAAACCAAAATCACCACCTCAACTTCAAATTTAACTGGAAATTAAAAATATATTTGAAAATGGATTTTTATCCAGAATCGGCATTTTAACCTGATCGGACAATTTAACTTGAAATAAAACACATAATAACCCCTTAATAAATGTTAAAAGTAAGTAGACGAAGCATAATTTATAAGAAAATAAAACAATGGTTAGTTTTATTATTAAAACTCTTCAGGGATTTACATATAGCAATTTATGCCCACTCCTCTCGGCTATTATGACGCTTCGGTCGAAGTCTCATCGACTATTTTTTGTAGAAAAAAACTTTAACTTTCATCCTATTAAATGACCACTAAAATATTGTATCATTTGGGATGTTATGTGTTTAATTTTATAGATGTTCAATTTTTAATGTCTGTTAACAATTGTGTATCTTGTTGAATGTCTAGAGAAAATTGGGTCTTTTTACTTTCTCGTGTATACGAAGTATGGAGAAAGTATTGTAATAGTGCACACAAAAATAATCGAAATCTTGTCAGTATGTCTCTGTGTGTATGTATGTGTATGTATGTGTGTCTGTAAACACGATAACTTGAGTACCGTTACAGCTAGGTTGATGAAATTGCATATATAAGTATTATATCAAATGTGTAGTTCCGAATCGACTTTTGAGCGATTTCCGATAACCGGAAGTGGAACATTTTCTAATTTCAATTTTTCAAAAGTCTATAACTTGAGCACTATTTCAGATAGATAATGAAATTTCAAATATAAGTAAAAGATATAATTCTCTACCTTCTGTCAAATTTTAAGTAATTTTCGTTGACCGAAAGTAGTAATTTACGCTATTTCCGATTTCTCAAACAACGCATGTGAATTTATAAAGCACTAATAATATCCCGCACTATTATGCACATTTTGTTTGACGTTCACTTAGTGTGCAATTCTTTTTTCTAAGAGATTCTATTATATTATAAAAGTTTAAATTAATTAAAATGGATTAAAAATGTTGTCTATATCCCGAGTTGCCATCCCCCGTAGTGTTATATAAGAATATTCGATAAAGTTTAGTGGCGATCACTTCCGGTTTATTTATATTATATTAAAATATTGTATTTCATGCATGTTTATTGAACATATGTTTAACCTTGCAGACGGTATCAGCAGCATCAGCAATATTCGCCAGAATTTCTTGACTGACAGCCTCTTGAAATTCGCGGTCTGTCGGTTCTGTTACGTCAGTGACCTGAGCGTGGAGAGCCGACAGTGCTACAAGGATGTTTATAGAAAGAAGTACGGCTCTCATTGTAGGTATTACACATTAAAGTGACAGTATCAAACGTCTACTGTGGATAAAAGCAGACTAGGTCTATTGTTGAAATTCAAATGTGTAATTAAGAAGTGATTTATGTTACAAATGTGTTCTAAACTTAGAGAAAAAATAACAAAATTAATGGATTTTTTTATAAAAACAAAAGTTACGGAAGTTACAGTGAGCGGATTTATTGAAACCAAATATAGCTCTAACTTTATTTTACTAAGTAGGCCCTATATTGTCCGTACCTGATTGTATTATACAGTTTATTAAACAAAAAATAAATAAATATATTACAAACTTTTGACTAGTTATATTAGTTTTAATGTTGGTCTTTGTAACGTTCAATCAAGGAGTAGGCCATATAAAGATACAATCTACCTGAAAGTACAGTAACACTGTTTTCTGCCTTACTTTCAAAACAGATCAAACACAAACAAAAAGCTATTTATAAACAAAAATTTATATGTGAAATCTTGCTTAAAAAACGGTCTTAGCGTTGGGAAGAAACAAGCTCGACTCTAGTTTGTGAACAGAAACGATGGACTTTAGAACGCAGGCCTGCTAGACGGTGTGACTGGAGTTCTGATACCGGGATTGTTCGTTAATAATACTCTGAATTTACCCCACTATAAATGGTTTCTGATACACGTTAGAGAAAGTAAAAGACAGCTGTGAAGTTTCCAGAAGTCACAATAACAAGTAAACACTTTTTCATCTGCTCCGTGGATCTAAAGTGTTATAGTATTTTTTTTAAAATTACGGCAAGTTGCGGTTTTTTAAAATGTTACTGCTACTAAAACATATAGAAACTTACCTAAATAACACGGAAGCTGTAGGTCAGATAGTGAGGTATAGAAATAATGGAACTTTCGAGAACAGTTTATACAACATACAGTGTGAGAAGTCATCATGCAAGTCATGACTGAAACGCTTTTGGTTGTTTACTTTTCTAGGACACTTGCTACATCCTGAAATGTATCAGATGTGTCAAGGCCAGGTTATTGGCTTGCTCTGGTCACATGACCAGTATGTGACCCGTCTATGACTTACATCTAACATAACGTTTAAAAGATTGCTTGCCTTATCTGAAAATAGATTAGGAAGGGTTGGGCGGTTAACTTTTATTGATTATCTTGGCTTATAGGCCCCTATATTATGAGTTAAATCATGATGGAATAGAAAAGTTTTTAAAATACAAAAATTGTTTGAGTTGTATTTTAACGACGTATTGTTCGAACAGTTGTAGTCATAATAAAAATGTAAATTAGAATACTACAAGCAGAAATTACATGCCTGTCGGAAAATAGCAACCACTATTTTCTAGGCAAGCAGGCGCAATGTCTCGCTAGCTTATTGCAAAAATATTTACTCTTTTAACTTAAGGCGGCGGAACCCGTTTCACGTAAATTAAAGGCCTATATATTTTTAATGTTAAACTGTTTAGAAAAAAAATAATTTATAAATTAGTTATTTCTCAAAACGCTATGTTCTTTACTACACGTTGAACGATATTAGTGACAAAGCAAAGAAATAACTAAATAGCTAAACATCCGACATATTTAAAATAACATAGGCTATTCGAAAAAATAAAACCAAATTAGATCGTATATACATTTTTAATCAACGCAACACAATACTAAATGCTATAAAAGACTTAAATGATTTCGTTAAAACACGGTAGTTCAATGGTATTTATGTTGATTTTAAAAGAAAATTATTTGTATTAGTTTTGGCCGTGAAAATTGTATACATCTCATAGCATACGCCTTGATTAGTAGATCTAAATCAAATCTGAATGAAATAGTTCATATATATATATATATATATATATATATATATATATATATATATATAAAGCAAAATGGTCGGGTGCCCGATCGGGCATTACCATGAGCTGCCATGAGACAATAGAACACGAGAGCCGGTGCCGGTCGGCCACAATGTCCAGGAAGAGGGGTCAAAACTGACCTCGACTGACCGGCGCCTTATATGAAATATTTATCGAAAACAATGTACCATGTAGGAATTTCTTCATAACTCCTGAGGCCGTAGACCGACACTCGGGGCTAGCTAAAAAACTTTGGAAGTGACCGTACCGAATTTCCTCTATATAAATTTTGTTATTTTGGCGAAGAACGATGACTATATTCAAAACAATATTTAGGAATTTTGGCTCTGTACATCTGGCTCAGTTTTTCCATATATAAACATTGTTGCTTTGGTGAAAAACGATGACTATTGTCAAGATAATGTTAAGGAACGTTGGCTCTATACATCTGGCTCATTTTTGCATAAACCTGGGTAAATGAATCGGCCTTATGGATAAACTATCGGTCAGCCTCTGCTCGCACGGCGTGGGCTAAAAAGTGACCTCGAGTGAAATTCTCCTTATATGAGCTTTATATAAGAAAAAAAACGTTTGCCGAACGACCCCCCTTGCTATTTTGTGAGGTCGTAGAAAAACGCCAAGGGATGTCAGAAAAAAACAACCCGCCATACCTGGAAAAAATCGATTAAGTGGTCAAATCTGACCAGTTGTATAATCAATTACATTTATGTACATCTGGCCAATTTCTTGCATGCACCTCGATAGATTGCTAAGCGGTATGGAAAAGGTATCGTGCTAAAAATGACCGCGATGGAAATTCTCCTTAGAAGAGCTATATATATATATATATATATATATATATATATATATATATATATATATATATATATATATATATATATATATATATATATATATATATATACAATGCGAACAATCCCCATGATATTTTGTAAGGTCGTTAACCGACCCTGGAGGGTAACAAAAAAACATTATGTTCGTTGATGTGTCCAGATGCCGTTTTTTCTTATATAAGCATTGCAAACTGTAAACAAAGACTACACCATTTTTAAATTTTCGAGTGAGGTAACTTTCTAAAATAAATATTTTTCAAACACTTTTATAGTTTTTTAAACACAAACAGAAAATAACGAAAAAAACATTTATTTGAGTACGATTTTTGTTAAAAATTAATGTGTGTATCCTAATTAAATAGTCAAAATTTATTTTAAAAGTTAATGTAATATAAATTATGAGTTATACTACTCAGAGAACCTCTGTAGTTCCAAATAACTTTTGAGCAATGAATTGCGAACATTACAAAATTTCTCAAAATAGTATTACTGTTTAAACTTAATTAAGCACTCCACATATCTACCAATTACTGATTAATTAAACATTCAAATTTTCAAATGTTTTTGAAAACCTAAGCGAAGCAAGGCAGTATGCATATTTTCTTCATATTCTAAAATTGGAAATTGACGCCATTAGTGTTCTGTAATTTCCTTAGTTTATACATGTGGCATGTGACATCATTGTTTATTGCGTTCTTATTACAACAAACACTTTTCCGGTTGCATAGTCAAAAATGTGTTTCTACATTAATTTATGCCTATATTTTTTTTTCCTCTTTAAATAAAATGTAGTTTATACTTTTTAAAACATCCAACATACTATTTCCAATAAAAGTCCGTATACTGAACATACTGATCTCATAGCCTGAGGACAGAAACAGTGGGAGAGAGAGATAGATTGATAGAGAGCGAGAGAGAGAGAAGTGCGCACACAGGCTTATTTATGTTAGGATAATACTGTAAGTGGTAATTAGAATACCGCACAATTAAAACACAAGTTTCAAATGCAGCTCATCCCATAACACACACAATGTCACGTGGTAATAACTACCATTCATCATATGGTATTTAATATATTTATTTACCAAGGGGTGACAACTGATAATAAGAAAATTATTATTAAAATCATTGCCTACCCTTATCCATGAATAACGTACCAGTATTAATCCTAACGAGCCGACCCGCAGCGTATCATACGCCGCTATTTACACTATTTAGTTGTTTTATTTTCTACTTTTCAGTAATTCATAATTTGTAAATTCGACAGTACCAATGCTGCTATTGAAAATATTTGCTTTAAAACACTAACCCCCCCCCCCCCCTTTCCCCTAACCACGACCCTACACCCCCCCCCCGTGAAAGCAGCCTCCTGTAAACATTTAGAGTGAACACAGCTCACCAGACAATGTGGGGGTGGGGTGGGGGTGGTAGTGATAGTGATAGAGAGAAAGAGAGGGGACTGCAAGGAGGCGCTTGCAGCTTGTTTTCTAACGGCTCCCAGAAGAGAATTATATATATAGATGATTATAACATCATTCCATGACCCTTAATGTGGTTGTTAGATTAGTTCAGCTACGGACAGCCCTGTTCAATCCTTGATGTCATTCATCCAATGTCGTTTTTTTTTCTTCTCCCTTCTTCTTCCTCATGGCACAGTGCCTTAAAATATTCTTTGAGCGTGGTAGGCCGTTTTATCTTGTGATATTCTCATACCCAGTGGCGTCGCTAGCGCTAGGTCGGGTGTCACCCGGTGCGAAACTTCGTGGTGTCATCCCCCCACCCCCCGGAACAAAGTATATATGTATGTGTATGTGTGTCTCGGTCTACATAGGCCTATAATTCAAAATGTATGCTACATACGCATACATGTATGAGCTTCAATCACTGCAGTCGTAATAGTAACGATGTTTATCTATAGTCTGTTAATAATACAGTTGGATGTAACATTGTTTTCTTTATAGTTAATACGTTTACGTCATGGTGCCCCCCCCCCCCCCCTCTTGAAATAATTGTCGATTGGTATTTATAAACTTTAATTAATCACTACTGGATTAAAGGCATTTTTCTTCTGTACATTTTCCAATTTCTTTTAGCATTGGTGTCATCCCCCTAAATGGTGTCACCCGGTGCGATCTGCACCCCCGCCCCGACCTTGCTACGCCTCTGCTCATACCAACTTAATTTTCTTGTTTTTTTAAACGGACTTCTTTATATGTTATAAGATCTCTCTAAGAGATCCCTAGGAATCTGCGTTAACATCCCATATCCAGGGCCTGGAGTGGATTCTTCTCTAAAGGTCTGCGTTGCGGGTCCATGCCACGCATGCGTACAAATAGACGGACACTACAGGTGACTGCATGAGTTTAATTTTTGTACCATTAGAAGTGTTAATGTGGTTAACCATGTTTCTTAGTTAATTGCTTGCTGTTGTTGTTGTTTGAGCGCATCTTGCAAGTATTTTTGCTTCATTTCTTTGTCCGTTGTAGCCTAATCTGTTCATCTCTTAGTTCCTCTTCTTCTCTTCTTCGTCTTCGTTCTTAATTTTTAGTGTTGGAAGGGATCGAGCCTTATTTGCCTGAGGGTTTGAACTCGAAACTTTTTTAATAACCGTGAGCTTTTAACGACACGACCACGCCTCCATCACAATTAAGGATACGTGTCAACGTATTTCAGCCTGCTTTTCTTTATGTATTTGTTACCATAGCCTTTGTCTAACCAAGAACAAACTACAAAGCAGCAGTTGTTTGATTTTGACGTTGTCTCTCCTAGAAGAGTGGCTGTCCTCAGCTAATGAACTCGAGACTTTTCGGTTTAGCAACCATGGGTTTTACCGACTCGAACACGCCGACCCCCTCTTAGTTTCTCAAATTCGCATATTTTTTAGATTGAGTCTATCCTTATTACAGCTAAACTTAATAAACAAACGACATACACGGAAAAGCTGTCTACGTCACAATATATATTTATAAGTTAAAACTAAAGTTTCCTTTTAAGACATAACGATATGTAGGGCAGTTGACGTAGAATTCAAATGTTTCTTGACCTCGGCATTTATATAATGAGAAAGTATGCCTAGTCACCTTTATTTTCATAACTTGATTCATGTACTCATAAGACCCGGGTGTACTTAGACACGTAGCATACTCATGAGTCCAGACCAATATCCGAGCTTTAGACATTCGTGCCCAGTCTCTACCACTAAACTACCCCGTCCGTAAATAGAGACAAAAATAATACAATTAAGGACGTGAATGATTAAATATAAAATGTATAAGTTAAATAGGGTTTATTTAATTTCAACATTTTACACTTCCGGTTTCTTTGCGCATCCCTGTGTTGACGTCACCAGGTCCGTCATGGTACCCAGGACGACCAGAGCGTCTTGGATGCTGTTGACCTTCTGCACCAACTGCTGGTCACACTTTGTGGTCTCACCCTGACCCGCGTCTCTAACGTTGTACCATCTGGTGTGGTTCTGTCTCCATCCCTTCCAGCCACTGAATTTCGTCCTATTGAACTGTAACAGAAAAAAAACAATAACATTAAATTGATATATTTTAACAAGCTTCTATTTAACTTGCTTCCTTTGTCTTAATCCTGTCTATCTGCCTGTCTAGATCGAAACGGGAGAGAGATATTTTAGACATTTCTAGCCGATCAATTTCTTTAAAATTAGGCACTTGGGTCAGGACCCAATGACAATGCAATATGACATTATATATGACTTAATTGGATATCTAATATTTTTTTAAATTTCTAATTAGTAGGCAGACTTATCCAACTATCCCGCATTATACTTAAGCAATTATATTTTTAAATACTGAAAATCAAATGCAGAACTGTTTTCCCTTAAACTGTTTTTAATATTCTTATATAACACTACGGGGAACGCAACTCAGAATATAGACATGATTTTTTAAATACATTTTTAATTACGGAAACTTTTAAAAATAGAATAGTATATGGAAGAACAAATAATTGCGCATCTGACAAGCTGCTAACAATAATAGTGTGGAAAATTAATACTTTATAAATTCAGATGCGTTTTTTTTTTTGAAAAATTGGAAATAGCGTAAAGTACTACTTACGATAGACGAAAATTACATAAAATTAGTCAGAAGACAGATAATTAGATCTTTTACTTATATTTGAAATTTCGATTAGCTATCTTAAACAGTACTCAAGTTATAGGAATTTGAAAAAAAAACAACTGGAATTAGTTCCTTTTCTGGTTACCGGATATTGCTGAGCAGTCAGTTATACACACACACACACACACACACACACACACACACACACACACACACACACACACACACACACACACACATATATATATATATATATATATATATATATATATATATATATATATATATATATATATATATATATATATAATTTCCATAACCTAGCTGTAACGGTACTCAAGTTATCGTGTTAACAGAAACACATACACACCTACACACACACACACACGGACAGAATTGCAAAGCCCAGTTTTTCTGACACAATAACTCGTAAAACGCCGAAAGTTTGATAAATTTGACTTAAATTTTTTGCCCGATTAAAATAAGTCCCCGTATGTGATGAAGTAATGAGAAGTATAAAGGTGAAAATTTCATGTGATTTTTGTGTACAATTAGAACACTTCTCTATATTATGTATACGAAAAAGTAAAATCGCATTTTAATAAATCGATAAAAAACGTTTTAATAACAAGTTTTTGGTAATAATGCACTAAAAAGTAGAAAATAAATAATCCTCTTTAAACATATAAGATGTTAATTTAAAACGTACGTACACACTTATCGTCATTATGCATGGTGTCTTAAGAAAATAATCATTGATAACCGTAAGGTAATCTTTCGCCCATAATCAGACATGAACCTGATAATTGGCTGATATTCCTGTACAGGTACAAACTCACCTGGAAGTTTTCCAGAGAATGCCTCTTGCCATTACCAAGAACAGCACCAACTGCTAAATTAATCAGAGGTTCTTTGACGTTGTTCCAAGTGTTTTTCCACCAGCCTCGTTTTGATCTAGCGGTGACGTCAGGGCTAGGCTTGAACGCCTGAGATTGTGAGAGTACAACTACTAGCACGTTTATTATTTATGCTACTATCTGAAGCATTTCAGTAGGTAAAAAGAAATAAACCGGGAGTAATCTCCCATAAACTTTCTCGAATATTCTTATATGAAACAACAGGGAATGGCAGCTCAGGATATAGACATGTTTTATAATCCATTTTAAATACTTAACTTTTTAAAATAGAATAAAATCACGTAGAAAAAAGAATTGCACACCAAGTGAACGCCAAATAAAAGGTGTATAATAGTGTGGAATATTATTAGTACTTTATAAATTCACAAGCGTTTTTTGATAAATCGGAAATAGTTAAAGATTTTTTACTCCCGGTCAGCGGAATGTACTCAAAATTTGACAGACGGCAGATAATTAGATCTTTTACTTACATATGAAATGTGAAATCGCTCAAAAGTTGATACGGATCTACGATTTTGATAAAATACGTATATATGAAATTACATCAACCTAGCTGTAACGGTACTCAAGTTATCTTGTTTACAGACACACACACACACACACACATCCACACAAACACACAGACATACGGACAAGATTGCAACACTATGTTTTTCTGACTCAGGGAGCTGTAAAACGTGGAGATTTGCAAAAATCTCGATTTTTTTTTTTTGCATCATTACAAGACTTTCTCCATACTTCGTATATACGAGAAAGTAAATATATACAATATCAGCAGACGACTGTGGCGTCATTAGGTCTCATGAATTCATTTACGGTAATTCAGACTCTCGCATATCAACCACTACAAACGAACAATCCTGAGTTAGGTACCCATCAGAGCTGAGTGGACTCAGCGACGTTTTACGGAATTAAACCCGGATTTGAAAGCGATACTTCCGGGTTAGCAGCTTAGCACTCTACTCCTTAGACTACACATTCCAGTATAATTATAATATGCAATAATCAATTTATCACCATTCGCATTCAAAATCGTGTCCTAGTGTGTTTAAAAGATGTATATGCATTTAAGGCAAAATAATGTACACGATGCAGACTTTCTCAGCAAATCCCTTTCATATTTTCACATGTTGCGGTATGATACTCCGCTGTATGACGCATACCTTTTTATTCGCAATGACAGTTTGTTTTTATTTTGAAAAACATCTTGTTAAACACAATTAAAATTCTGTATTTTATTCAGTGTCTTTTCAAATATTATGTAAGTTTATTCCAATACTATATTTCTTACAGTGGCGTAGCGAGGTCGGGTGTCACCCGGTGCGGCACTTAATGGTGTCATCCCCCAGAGGCGTAGCGACCCTTCCAGGGGACAACAAACTTTCAAGTTTTCGATTTGCCTCCCCCCTCAAACTTTCATTTGCACCCCCCCCCCTCAAGTTTTTCTCTATATATTTTGCTATTTTTTGCCTTGGTGTCACCCCCCTAAATGGTGTCACCCGGTGCGGTCCGCATCCCCCCCCCCTCGCTACGCCCCTGATTTGTTATAGTAGATCTAAATTAAATTTTAACTGTTTTTTACAATGTATTTTTGTGATCAAAGACCCTCTGCTGAGCAAACACCAGTTGTCAAAGCCCCTATGGTCAAAGCCCCTCTGTGATCAAACCACCTATGGTCAAAACCCCTATGGTCAAGGCACCCGTTGTCAAAGTTCCGCGCACTGCGAAAATGTAATGTATGTTAAGTGTGAACATTTGTTGTTAGTTGTTAAAGAATGTTGTACCTTGCATACGGTATCAGCAGCATCAGCAACATTCGATAGAATTTCTTGACTGACAGCCTCTTCCAAATCACCCTCTGTAGGCTCTGTGGGGTCAGTGTCCTGAGCCAGGGTAGCCGACAGGGCTACAAGAACGACAGCAGCAAGTAAAAGGGCTCTCATTGTCATTGATAGTCAGACAGTACCCTACACAATCTGGGGATAAAGGATGCCTCGTGAAATTATTAAATTACAAAACTAGATAGGATTTGCAAATAGGGCTGGTAAGTAGGTCACTAACCAGTTCTTCGGCTCAGTAAAACCTGCATGAGCAATAGAACTGGTTGGTGATCTACTTACCAGCCCTTATAGGGCTTAGTACTATAAAAGAGGGTTTAAAATTAAATCATGAAAAAAGTCAACGTCCAGATTGACTTATTTGTAATAGCAGTAGTAAGCCCTATATTATTTAAGAATATTTTAAAACAAGATGTCGCTGCTCTGTAGGCCTACATCTATCTTCTATTGTTTCTGTCCTTGAACGAAGAGTTCTTATGCTTAAACAAGACAAACACAAACACACACACACACACACACACACACACACACACACACACACACACACACACACACACACACTAGTCGTCTTGCGAACGGTTTTGTCTAGTAGTCCAGTAATAAAGTGTGACATATAAAATTAAATGTAATGTTTCCTCCCCTGTTTCGAAATGCAGTAAAATCACAAAAAGGCCTGAAGTTGTTTATCATCTTTTTTTTTTTAAATGGGGGGGCGGGGGTTGAAAGGCGTCAGGCGAGAAAAAAATAACCGTTTCTTGGGCACGTAGTAACCTGCAAAGATTTAACGATACAGAAGGTACGAAATAACTTACCAAATAATCAAAAGCAGGGTCGCAGTGGACCAGATACTGAGCTGCATGTTTTTCCCGAATATTTATACAACAACCAGTGTGAGAAAACATAATGATAGTCGTGACAGAAACGCTTTTTTAAAATACACTGTTTTTTCTACACCTGTTGCGACATGCTGAAATGTATCCGTCGGTTTGGGGGCCAGGCAATTATTGGGTGGTGGTCAAATGACCGGTAGGTGATATTTCTGTGATATAAGTCTCCGGGGTCAATCAAATGGTTAATTGTCTTGTTTCTGATTCCGACAGGCTGTGAGGGAGAGGTACTTGAGTACGTTACAGCTATGTTGATGAAATTTCATATATAAGTATTATATCAAAATCGTATATCCGTATAAACTTTTAGCGTTTCGATAACCGGAAGTGGAACTTTTTTAATAGCCTATAACTTGAGTACTATTTTTGATAGATAAATGAAATTCCACATGTAAGTAAAAGATCAAATTCTTTGCCTTCTATAACATTTTGAGTAATTTCTGTTGACCGGAAGTAGTAATTTTCGCTTTTTCCGATTTCTCCGATTTATAAGGTACTACTAATATTTCGCACTATTATACACATTTTACTTGGCGTTCACTTGGTGTGCAATTCTTTTTTTTTGCGAGACTTTTACGAGACTTCTATTTTTAAATGTTTAAGTATTTAAAATGGATTAAAAATCATGTCTATATCCCGATTTGCCATCCCCTGTTTCATATAAGAATATTCGAGAAAGTTTAGGGGAGATCACTCCCGTTTATTTGTATTCATCTTGATTTGTATAAAAAAATTCATTAAATATTAATTTTATGGTTTTATGTATTCGCTGCCCTAGAACCAGACTGCTCTAACTCCACTTTTAAAACTGTTCACAACAAGGCTTTAAATATGTTATTACTTTGAACATTTAAATTTAATAAATTGGTTTGAAATAATGGCAAGATATATGGTCACAAAATATTTCGCTATGATGCCTTGGTGGATTTATATGGCAACTGTATATACATCTCGAAAACAATCTACTTAGAACAGTCTAGTTCTAGAAATGAGATACTATACACTCTAAACATGTATATATTTTAAGTTTAATGATTAATTTTAAAAGTTTTGTTTTAAATATTTCTGCGAAAGAAGAGATAGTCTTGTCAGCACTTAGTTCAGCCACCTTTAATTTCGCTAATAATAGTTAGGTATCCGTACGATCTGGGTGGGCTTAAACCCAAATTCGAACTCGAGACTTTTGGGTTAGCAGTCTAGCGCTCAGTGGCGGAACTAGAAAACAAAGGCCACCCCGCAAAAAAAAATTCTGGGCCCCCCCACACACATATATATATATATATATATATATATATATATATATATATATATATATATATATATATATATATTAAGGTCGGCTGTGGGCCCCTAAACTGTCTGCCCCCCTCCCCCCCCCCCCCCCCCCCCCCCGCATTGCGGGATCTGGTGGCACTGTAGTTCCGCCCCTGCTAGCGCTCTACTTCTAAGCCACGCCTTAGTAAACATGAACATTATACATGAATGTTCACGGACTTAAGTCATCGAGATACTCACGAACGTTATGTATCTAAACTTAGGTATCTTTATGTATCTAACCTAACCCACTTCCCTTTAAAATACACGATTGTCATGAGAAAATTTTTTAAAAATATATTTTCTTTAGTTTACGCTTAAGCTGAAAATGCAACATTCAATTAATTAGGATTGTATCTAAATTTGAAAATTCTTTTAGGGATTCTAAATTTTTATTCCACGAAAAACAAACAACCCCGCACTATTTAGAAAACAAGATCTAAACATTTTGAGACCGTTCCTCCCACAACCTTCACAATGTCACGTGAAAATAACCACCAAACGACATCTGGTAATAAAAATATTTTTTTTCAAAGGGAGACAACAGATAAAATACAAATGATTAAAGAATTGTCTACCTTTACCAATGTGTATCACTGAATCCAAATATCTTACTTTTGCCCTAGCCTGGGTTTAATCAATAGCATTGCACACATCATCTGGTTAACCAAAAATAAAATGACATGTTCCACTAACTGACGTGACATGTTCCATCAACTGACGTGACATGTTCCACTAACTGACGTGACATGTTCCATCAACTGACGTGACATGTTCCACCAACTGACGTGACATGTTCCACCCACCGATGTGACATGTTCCACCAACTGACGTGACATGTTCCACCAACTGACGTGACATGTTCCACCCACCGATGTGACATGTTCCACCAGCTGACGTGACATGTGCCACAAACTGACGTGACATGTCTAGTTACATCTAGAATTGCTATACCTAGATTAGCTTTACTGTGCAACCCATATTGTATCAAAGTGTGTTTAATGCTGTTTATAGCCTACATCTAAAAATAAATTTAAGTAGACGAAGCAGACTTTCTGAGCAAATAGAGCAAACGTTTATTTTGGTATTAATCTTTTTTCAAATAATCACATTATGTTGCCTTTCTCAGTGACGAAACCGGTATGTCCTTCTATTCACAATGAAAATGTAATGTTATTGTGAAATATATTTTGTTAAGTCTATTAAAATACTGTATCTATCTGTTATGGCTATTCAAATGTTGAACATGTCCAATGTTTATTACAATACTATTTAATACTATATATAATGTTAAGTGTGAGAAATCAAATCTTTTATGCTTCTAAGTGTAGAGAAATGTTGTATGCTGTTAAGTTAAAAAAAAAACAAATCTTGTATGTTGATAAGCGTAAAAAGCATTTTTATACCTTGCAAACTGTGTCAGCAGTATCAGCAACATTCGCCAGAATTTCTTGACTGATAGCTTCTTCCAAGTCGCCCTCTGACAAACTTTCAATTTGCCCCTCCCCATATATATTTTTGTTATAATTCAAAACTGCAGCTAAAATAAGCTTTTAATTTTTTTTCCAACCCATTTTGGCGCCCCGTAGGTTGGCGCCCGGGGACATATGTACGAACCCCCCCCCCCCCCCTTCCCCCCGTCACTACGCCTCTGCTGTAAGCTCTGTGGTGTCAGTTATCTGAGCCCTGAGAGTCGACAGGGCTACACGTATGATAACAGCAAGTATCATCGTAGATGATAGTCACACAGTTTCAAACCAGAGGCGTAGCGACCCCACCCGGCGCCAGGGGAAAAACTTTCAATTTGCCCCCCCCCCCCCATATAAGTTTTATTTAAGTAATTCAAAACTGCAGCTAAAATGAGCTTTAATTTTTTTTTCAACCCATTTTCAACCCGGCCGTGGTCACTCAAATATTTGAACTCTAGTGGCGCTGGGTAGATTACACATTACGAAACTCTACAGGCTAATGTGACACGCCAGGCGCATGGGTGGAACTATGTGAAGACAAAGTAGAGGGCTCCAAGATCGAACTGGAGTCTTTTAGATAAACTAAAGACCGCAGGGATGTCTTATGAGACTGCAAAAATTTACGGCAGGTACCTGACAAAAAGGAAGGTTATGGAACCCCCCCCCCCCCCTCCGAAGAAAGTCTACCGCCCTCCCCCCCCCCCCCAGCCCCTGAATATTTCAAGTTCCCCCCCCCCCCCCCGGAGAAAAAAGTCTGGAAGAAACACTGTTGGCAAAGAAATAACTGTAGTTGAAGATAGATATGAACAATGAGACTGGATAGAGTATTTTTGAACTCCAATAATGTGCTCTCCTGCTGAAAACTACTGTTAGATCAAGTGTCTGATATTTGCAACAAGTTTTAATCATTTGTTTCGAAAAGTTCGTAAAGTTCTGACTGAAAAATCTTTGCGCATTACACGTTTTTGCTTCTCTAGAATGTATCATATTTTGTTTTTAACTGGGCGACCCATCAGGAACCCCTGTTATACGTAATAAGTTCCCATTTAGTTAAAACTGGCATAATTCAAGTAAAAAACAAGCAATTCTTCAGTAAAATAAAACTTTATTGCAATGAATGACCTCTCACAGTAAGACATTAACATTTGCACTCAAGCTTGTTACTGTGTTGTTGTATACACTGACATGTCAGAATCAATGCCTGCTACTCACCAGTAGCCGTTGATAACCCCCAGCTCATCTTGCAGCCTCCCCACCTGTTGTCCGTGTAATCGAGGTAGTAGACGGTCCACTCATTAGCCACAGCACACTGCACGCTTGGCGCACCCCCACCGCATTGCCCAGCGTCACCGTCAGCCTCCCATTTGTAACACATATGCACAGCTTTCATCCAATAAGGAACGTTGTCGGGGACCTGGAGCATCCATCGCATTCTGCACCCGCCATTACGACTGCCTGTGTCGTCAAAATACGGAGGTGTGTAGTTGTTGATGTTGGAGCAAAAAGTCTGGCCTCCATCACCGCCGCATTGCCAGATATCGTTCTCAGCGTACCACTGGAAGCAAATTTTAACATTGTTGAACCAAGCTGGGTAGTTGGCGGATAGAATCGCCCACTGCAGCTTGCAGCCGCCCCACCTCCAGTCGGTGTAGTCGTAGTACCACGGCGTCATAAAATTGGCCATGGCACAGCGGTAGTTTCCCCAGTCTCCCCCTGAACATTGGAAATGATCGCTTGTTTCCTTCCAGTACATGCACAGTTTCGTGTTGGCAGCAAACCATTTGGGCACGTTGATATATTCTTCTAAGTCTCTGGCTAAAGCATCAACCTCGCTGTCGATGATTTGCTGTTTACTCTGCAATGCCGCGACGCGGTCGCGAAGCCCGTTGATGACGGAGTTTTCAGCTTTCGCTCTGGCTCCATAAATGAGAGATTGTAATTCTCCAATATAGGCTCTTAACAAATGGTTCTTCACAGCTCGTATCATGGATGATTTCTTTGTCTCGTCTTGAATGAGGTCGCTAATGGGCTTCAGTTTACCTGAAAAAAGCCACGGGTCACCCTCAACCGTCGGTTGCCATTTAGTTAGGCCTTCGCTGCTGAGGATGTTGGTGTCGCCTCCGTAGTACTTGATCGTTGTCTTAGTACTTGATGTAAATTTTTCGTCTACATTCCCAGTAGAAGACGTGGCCGCGACGCTCACGGAAACCATTTTCATGTACGCGGCTTTTGCATTAGCTTCAATCTCGCTTTCAGTTTTGCTCATAAAGTAGTCCTTCGCCGTCTCAAAAACCATTCGGATAAATCCGCCGAAATTAGCCGAGGTAAAATAATGTGTGCCATAAGTATCAATAAACTTATTGTAAGCGTTAGGGTTGCTTTCATATGTTCCGGTCAGGGTGGTGTCTATATACGCTTGAGCAAAGCTATCCAACCCTAATTTTTCTGGCGGGTTCACGTCTGCGCGGGTTGCCGAAGAGAAAGCCGTGACCTCAGAGATGTACCTGGATGTGTTGGTGATAGAGTTCTGCAACTTTTTATAGCTGACGCTGGCAGAGAATGAGTACTTTCCCGTGTCCACTTCTAGACCGACGCTGCTGCCCATAGAATTTCTGATGGCGCTGTATGACGAGTATGTGTGGGCGTCAGATGAGAGCCAGCCTCCAGGTACAGATGTCATTTGCCACACCTGCAAGGTACGTTGTAAAATACATACAGGTAAATAGGTGTAAAAGTAAAGTTCCATTTTCAAACCTGGCGGTCTATAGGGCAAGTGAAGTAGAATTCACTTGTTTCTGTAATTTAAGTATATGAAGAGATAGTGTGGTCAGCATTATGCCAAGTCGCCTTTACTTTCTCTAACATAAGTAAGTTACCCATCAGAGTTGGGTGGACTCAGGGACGGTCTACTGACTTGAACCCGAATTCGAACTCGAAACTTACGGGTTAGCAGTCCAGCTCTCTACCGCTAGATTACACAGTCCAACATAAATAGGTATAGGAACTTAAAATCAGATGGTACAATACATACATATAAATAAGTATACAAACATACGGAAGATGGTACAAAACATTACACAGCAATACGTGTTGAAATTTAACTATATCTAACATATATGGGCAGAGGCGTAGCGACCCTTCCCGGCGCCCGGGGACAAACTTTCAATTTGGCGCCCCCCTCGGGAGCAAATTTTCAATTATATGCTCAAAACTTTAAAAAAGCAGCTAAAATAACATTTTAATTTGTTTTTACACCCATTTTGGCGCCCCCTAAGGTCGGCGCCCGGGGACATATGTACCCCCCCTGCCCCCCATCGCTACGCCTCTGTATATGGGTTGTTTTTCGATTTACCTTTATGCCTTTCCCCAATCCGTACACCGCGATCAAAAGAGGGGCGAAGTTTATACAACTATACGTTTGGGCATACGGCAGCTCTGCGTACATTCTAAATTTTACTTTGATGAAGCATATCATCTGCTTTTTACACATGAATCAATCTAGATTGATTAAACTTCTGTTTTTTGTTTACTTTCTTGTTTACGAAGTATAGAGGAAGTATTGTAATCGTGAAATTTTTTTTTAACAAATCTCGAGGTTTGTATACCTCCCTGAATTGGAAAAACATAGTTTTGCAATTTTGTCCGTGTGTCTGTGTGTGTGTGTGTGTGTGTGTATGTATGTACCTAACAGTAACAGTACTCAAGGTATCGTGTAAAAGCGTGCCCAAAAGATAGATGGATAAACAGATAGATACACAGACAGACAGACAGCGAAACTATTATTATAGATTCTATTCCATTTTAAAAAGCTTAAGTAATTAAAAATGGATTAAATATCATGTCTATGTCCTGAGTTACCGTTCCCGTAGTGCTATATAAGAATGTTCGAGAAAGTTTAGTGGAGATCACTCCTGTTTCTTTTTTCTACGCGATTTTATTCTATTTTAAAAAGTTTAAGAAGTTGAAAATTGATTTAAAATCAGGTCTATATCCCGAAATGCATCGCCCGTAATGTTATATAAGAATTTTCGAGAAAGTTTAGGGGAGATCACTCCCGGTTTATTAAGAATTGCAACAACAAAAAATAACTTCAAATATAATATTCTTGCTAATTTCTAATGAAACCAGAATTTCTTCCAGGCATCTTTTCCGAACAAAACTGAATTTATATAAAAATATATACTTTTAACAGTTTCCGTCCGCCCGGAAATTTTAGTCCGCCCCCCCCCCCCCCCCAAAAAAAATGTCAAGTGCCCCCCGGAGAAAGAAATCTAGAAGAAACACTGAATAAAACGCCATTGCAAATAACAATGTGTACACCACCAACCTGGTCAGGTAGCTCATACACGATGCCCTTAACACTCTTGTACTGCTTTCCCAGATCGCAGGTGAAGGGTATGATAGGGCTCATCACTCCGTCGTTGCCAACAACGTCGATGGGGAGCAGGTCCAATTTTGAACAGTCGACACCTCGGTTCATTTTGGACAGGCCAGGAGGTAAATTGGTGCATGGTTTTGCATCTGTCAGTGACCCGGCCACTGCCAATAGCAGGGGTAGCAGATGATACATTCTTTTAACTCTTTGAAGATACAAAAACAAAACTGCAAAAAACAAAATGCATTGTCGTCAAAGTAGAACGTATCTTGAAAGTTTGAACGGAATCGCGCATTAGAAGTAAGTCAAAATGAAGTTACAAGATTTGCCGAAATCCTCAAACGAATTAACGGACGTAGTGACCTAAGTAAAATTTTGTAAAAAGAAGTGCTTGTCTCGCTTTATTATGTACCAAATACCTAAAGGTCTACTTATATTTAAGAAGCATCAAATGCTTTTCTTTTTATTAATTTTAAAGTAGTAAATTGTTAGTTATTTAAAGAATTTTATTTTCTTCTTTTTAGATCATAGCGTATAAAAGCTTGTTATTAAAACGTTTTTGACTAATATTGTTTTGATTAATTTAGCTTTTCAATACTTCCAAAAAATTAATACAACAGAATAACATGACTAAAAATAATCGCGCTCTAAATGAAGGAAAATAACGTGGGCATAATAGCTTGGATAATGAGTACTTTATATGCGAAGCTTTGATAATTCTTTAAAAATTATTTCATCACAAATCTTTTTATGTCGCTTGCATTGTCATATTGTCTTGACCTACGTGTCAAGTTGGAAAGGAATCGTTTCGGTAGAAGTGGTCTAAATTTCGCACTCCAGTTTTAGACCAATCACAAAGCAAGCACGACAGACGGACAGTAAAAATGAAGTGAAATACACGCTTATAAAAATACTAAAGTCCTAGACTTGATAAACAACATTTTCAAGTTAATTCAACGTTGCTGAACTGGGAAAAAATAGAATCATTCTGTTAATATGATAATTCTGTTAGTAGCAACACGAAAGCTTTCGTGTAAAACACAGAAATGAATAAAAACAGTATGTGACGTTTTCTGTTGATAAAACTAACTATACACTCTGCATCATTTTGCGTTGTTTATATCATACGTTAAAGCGCATTCCAAGACATTTCAACTAATGTAACATACAATCCGCAAAATTTTAAATTAAAACAAATCAATTTTGCTTTTCATACAAAGTAAATTACTAAAACTATTACGTGCATTATTTTGTAAAAGAAACATAAAAACAATATTTAATTTAAAATATTATATTCACCTATTTGATTTTACAACCACTATATCGGTAGTGTAAAACCCCGAAGTCGATGAGAAATGAACCACTAATCACTTCTTATATAGGCATGCATGGTGAATTAAACAGAAATTTACGTATCTTAATATATTATCATGTGGGTCTGTCGGCTAACATAGGATGAAAAAGTAAATCGTTAGCCGAAAACATAATTACAATGCAATTAGCCCAGTTAATCTAAATTTAATGAGAAAGACAAAAGAATAGTAGACAAAGACAAAACCTAAAACATAAATGCAGACAAAGATTTAGACGCACATACAGACACAGACCAGGAGTAGGTCTAAAGTAGAGGCAGACGTAGTCATAAAAGTAGACATTTACAAGGATAAAGACAAACACTTCTCAATTACCTTACAAATACAGATAGATAGACAGATAAACGGATGAACGGATGGGCGGACGGACGAATGGAAGTATGGATGTATGACGGAACGATGGATTGATTGATGGAGAGATGGACGGATGGATGGATAGAGAGAAAGACGGATGGACGGGTGGATGGATGAATGGATGAATGGAAGAAATTTTTTCGCAAAAATCTCCTCGTGTGTATTCCTGTCAAATCCCCAAAGTTTTATGGCACGCTGGTGAACTGAGTAGAACCGCAATCAAATTGTTTTAAAAATATACAGTATATAGAGAAGAATCGAATCGCGCCCTGCCGGGGCGCCACCCATGCGATTTTTAGTATTCTCAACAGGAGTATTCACAAAACCGTTCAGAAATTTCATGTCCATCGGATGAAAGGTGAAATGTGTAGTAATGCATAAAAGACAAACAAGCACACAAACACACACACATACCTTGATATATATATATATATATATATATATATATATATATATATATATATATATATATATATATATATATATATATATATATATATATATATATGTGTGTGTGTGTGTGTGTGTGTGTGTCTAGGGTTTACTCTCATTTCTCCACACATTGAAACGGCCTTGAATAAGTATGTTTAAGAAACTTTTGAACACAACAAATGTTTTCAATTCATATGCAAATTAACAGTCTGGGTTTTGTCAGTGACCGTCCAACCGATTCTAAATTTGCTATTCTAACTATGGAGTTCAAAAGATTTAAATGGGACATTAAAAAGCGAACAGTAATTTATGTTGGAACACAACACAACAGAAATGGAAACGTTGCACTGTTTCATCGCAGATGGGACACAACTCTGCTGCTCTGAATCACGATCTGCCGTGTCTGTCCTGTACAGATCATCCTATGCTGGCGACAGTGCGATATGGATATATTTTAGCGCGGGGTGGTTTTTCCTCATATTCAGCGTTACGTTTTAGTGTGATTCTGATTTTTTAAAAAAACGATTTACATAGCTTTCCTCCATAATTTTTATTAACTCTGGCTTTGACATCTACTACAAACTGTCGTGACATCTACAACCAACTGGCGTGACATCTAACTGGCGTGACACCTAACTGGCGTGACATCTAACTGGCGTGACATCAACCACCAACTGGCGTGACGTCTAGCACCAACTGGCGTGACATCTACCACCAACTAGCTTGACATCTACCACCAACTGGCGTGACATCTTGCACCCACTAGCGTGACATCTATCACCAACTGGCGTGACACTTATAACAACTGGCGTGACATCTACCACCAACTGGCGTGACATCTACCACCAACTGGCATGACATCTACCACCAACTGGTGACATCTACCACCAACTGGCGTGACATCTACCACCAACTGACGTGACATCTACCACCAACTGGCGTGACATCTACCACCAACTGACGTGACATCTACCACCAACTGACGTGACATCTACCACCAACTGGCGTGACATCTACCTCCAACTGGCGTGACATCTACCACCAACTGGCGTGACATCTACCACCAACTGACGTGACATCTACCACCAACTGGCGTGACATCTACCACCAACTGACGTGACATCTACCACCAACTGGCGTGACATCTACCACCAACTGACGTGACATCTACCACCAACTGACGTGACATCTACCACCAACTAGCTTGACATCTACCACCAACTGGCGTGACATCTACCACCAACTCACGTGACATCTAGCACCCACTGACCTTCAACCTACCATTAACCCATCAACCTTTGTCCTATCTAATACCAGCTGGCGAGAAAAACAACCAGCTATCGTGGTGCGAATCAACAATTAGCAGGCGTCCATTGATCTAGATTATGGGTTCACAGCCTGTGGGTCGCGAAGGGCTTTCTGGGGGGGGGGGGGGGGGGGGTGGGGGGGGGGGTGGGGGGGGGGTCATCAACTCACAGACTAAACCTTAGCAATAAAAAAAAACATAAATATTTAGAAGAATATCTTAAATTCGGCTTTACTAACATCAGTGGACATGAAATAGAGAAGAAACAATGCGCACTGTGCAAAGTTGTCTTCAGACATGAGTCTATGGAACTTTCAAAACTAAAACGCCATTTTGAGACGAGTTACTCGGAACACAACAAAACAGATATTGAGTTCTTTCGCCGGCATGAAGCTAGTTGCAAAAGTGAGAGACTTGATTGAATTGGAACTTTTGTTCTTGTTATGACAACATATACAGTTTCAACACTTCTCCAATAAAAAAAAAACAAAACAAAGAAATAAATAATATATGTTAAGAATGACATTAGGTTGTCGTTAAAAATACTCAACCTCGAATGTTGTGCCTAGTTAATAACATGTAATTTCACTCATCGTATTAAAACAGTTATCAAGAATGATTAATATTGAAAGTCTACTCGAAATTCATATTTTAGTGCTTATTAATTTCCTTATTTATTTCGACTTTTTAATTCTATAGCGTTCGCGGGTCACTTACTTTTTATAAAAGGGGGACGCCACTCGAAAAAGTTTGAGAACCGCTGATCTAGATTTTATATATCCAGGACATGCCGGTATCCGAAAACACGTAGTATGTTTAATTTATGCGGGTAAAAACCGCCATCAGTCTGGGCGACAGCTTTAGTAGTATCATGCTCGCGATCTGTTGTGTTGGTAGATTTGAATAGGTCTTGTTAATAGAAACAGCGATATCTGTAGCGATATCGTGTTGGTAGAAACAGCGATATCTGTAGTTGGAGGTAGTAACAGCGATTGTATATATCGTGTTGGTAGAAACAGCAATTGTATATTAAGTCGTGTTGGTAGAAAAAGCGATTGTATATATCGTGTTGGTAGGTACACAATTTGTATATTTCTTGGTTAGTTAAAAACAGCTATTCTACTTCTAATTTTGGAAGAAACAGTGATAATAATTAACATTTAGTTTACAAAAGTATTTACCTCATAAAATACATATAACCAAAGATGTGACCTAACTAAACTTTTCCATGTCGAATTTTCAATTTGCTCTTGTTAGAATACAAGTGTTCGGTAGCTTCTTTACAGATAAATACGTATAATTTAACAATTGTAGCTGGAGATTTATTTTAGTGTCAGCTTTATCTTAGGCTTGTCTGCACAAGGTTGCCTATATGTGTGTTATGTGCGTCCGTGTGCGTAGCTCTTAAATTTTACGTCGTTTACTTCAAAATGCTTTGACAAAGCTGTACTCAACTCTAAGTGTATGCGTTTGGGTGTGAATTGTGTGTATTAATTTGATGTATTGTTATGTGTATTTGATAATTTTGTTCTTTCTTCTTATTCTCTTACATTACGTTAAATATCTTAGTTAATGTACATATTCATGAAAAAAATGATTACTTTAAAAAAAGCTTCTAACTTTAGCTATTTGATGTATAGTTATGTGTCCTTGTTAGTCTTTTTTCTTTCTTCTTATTTTCTTACTTAGTTAATGTAAATATTTATGAAAAAAAATGATTACTTTGAAAAAAGCTTCTAACTTTAGCCATACAATTGATGTGATTGCAGCGTCTATGCACAGTCTGGCGGCGATACCAACTACGACAGCCTTTTCCAGGGATACGCCGGAAGTGATAACATTTGCAGAGTTCTGATTTTGACCGTTTCTGGCTTCACTTTGACGACAATGGTAAGAGACTTAGAGTCGGTCAGTGACGTAGATAGGGGGGGACGGGGGTTCGGGGCGCACCGGGTGACACCATTTAGTGGGTGACACCAAGGCAAAAAATAGCAGGGTCGCTACGCCTTTGGCTCTGGGGGGGGGGGTGACACCATCAAGTGCCGCACCGGTTGACACCCGACCTCGCTACGCTACTTGAGTCGATTGAACTATCGTGAAATTGTCTTGTATTGGGTCAGTATGATAGGGGATAGTTAGCCATTGGGTCAGTAGGCGAGGGAATAGTTAGACGAATGCAGGAGCGTAGTTAGCTATCGGGTCAGAAGCTGGAAGAGCGGAATTAAAGCTTGTATAATATTATAAATTGGCGTTAGGAATCCTAATTCCTACCCCATGAATTCATATGTGAAAAAATACTAACAATAACAGGTTGCAATAATTTCAATAAGAAATTAAAAAAATATCCAAATTTAGACACTGTAATGCAGTATATTAACGTTTTGTTGTTTTTTTGTTCAGCTGGATGCCACTTATACAATAGCTAATGCTAGTTTATTTGCCCATATGAAACTAGAAATGATACGTGTAAAAATAAAAAATAAAAATATAGTGACGTTTAAAAGCCAATATAAACTTTTCCTCAAAGCTGACAGTGACGTGACCATACAAGTATTTTTTTTTTATCAGGGATGGAGACAGGAAAGTTTCCCAAACCCTCAAAACGCCCCTCTCTACTTTCTTGAGCTGGACAGAGTCGCCGATTTTTAAAGTTCTAAATCTTGTTTCTTTCCCCTCTTTTTTTACACAGCAACCTTTTGAAAACTCAATGCGACCAGTACATAAATAAACACTCTTTTAACTAGTCAACTTAATTTGTTTCCCTACATTGAAAATGCTCCACTGGCCCTTTGTCATTCTCGGAAAAATATCCTTTCCACTCCCCACCCAGACTTCTGACACGTTTATTTGACCTTCACCCCTTTTACTGCCATCTTTTGTAATTTTTGTTATAATCATAT